AAGGAACCTGTCACTTCCCCTGGCATCTGGGCTTTGGATTTAGAGCAAATTCTGGATACAGCAGCTAGGGAAAACCATGTCTGCTGGGAACTTCAGAGTTCCCAAGTCTTAAGCCCCCCCTGCAGGTGTGAGGGTGAACCATGACTTGGAAGCGACACAAAAAGGTATGGGGTGACGTGCCCACACTTGAAGGGACAGCAAGGAGAAGGTCACAGGGTTAGGAAATATGAAAATGCAAACTCTAGGGCTGGCCCTTTCACTGAGGAGTTGAACCCAACCAAATTAAAGACATGGCTTTTGTATGTTGGCAAGCCAAGATACTAGTACCTGGTGAGCTTTGTGCATATTGCCTCCTGTCCTGTGTGCAGACATGTGTGCCCAGGGCCGGGAGAACCCAGATTCATGCTGCCAATATAAAGAGGATGTTGCCCTGAGCTGGCTCAGGCATGGTGAGTCATGGGCTTCTCAGGGGTCAGCTTGCCTCTCATCCTGGCTGCAAGGCTTCAAATATGTCTCCTGCGCTCCCTGGGCCCTGGCTCCCAGCTTTGGGCATCAGCCTAGAAGTGTCTACTGGGGAGGGCTCAGAGTAGGGGTTCCAGGGTCTGCCCTAGGTGGTGAGCCGCCATGTGCTTTAGGAATTGCCTGGAAAGCCCTTCCCTGCGGTTGTAGGAAGGGTTGGAAAGGCAAGGGCTGATGCTATTCCTACTGTGGAGACAGCAAGCACAATGTGAAATAGCTGAGAAAAAATGCAAATACACTATACCCAGAAACCCAAGCAGGGAGACTTGGCTCTAAATCAGTGAACCTCCTGAGAAAGGAGCAAACAACTCCACTTTTACTTTGCAAGGCTGCTTCCTCTGTGGGACTGCCTCAACGATGGGCGCTGCCGCCCTGTGAGTGAGTGATGAGCAGGTTCCTGCAGGGTGTGTCCCAGGAAATCCCGGGGACTCGCCTGGCTTGGCTTTGCCAAGTTGGCTAGAAGGTTGCAAACACCAATTAAAATAAAGCGACTGCCATGATCTGATGCCAGCATGGTTAATCAGGACTAAATAGCCCCGAGGGAGCCCTTCTGGCCACATCTTACCAAACTCACCGCAGGCCCCTGTCCCTTTCGCTGGGCTGGGTCAGGGGCCCCCTCATGAACCACTGTCACAGTAAACGTTCGAGTATAGTGACCCAGTGTTGCTTCAGGAAGGGTCGGGCCAGGCTCAGCTGCCTGTTGGAATGGGAGGGCCATCGGGGTAAGTTGGTGGGGAACAGGCTTTGGATGTGTGGTTGCGGAAGGGCTGGGGGATGCCTGCGTGCGCTGGCTCACACCTGGAGGCAGCCATCCAGCACCCTGGACTTGCTGCTCCTCTCTGGCCACACCCTGGGTGATCCCGACACTCAGGTGGGGAACGTGATTGGGGCAGGAGTGGTGGGGGTGGGGGGGCTGACATACCAAGAGGGCATAGGATTTTGTACCCCTTTGGTTTCAGGAAGACTGAAAGTGGTTAATAAAGAATGCTCTTTCCCAAGCTACTCATATGGGCTGGCCTCAGGGCCACAGCTGAGGTCCCATGAAATGAGATGGTGACCATGAAGGGGAAGGTTCCACACCCTGTGCTGAGAATGAAATGGCCACAATGGGGAGCAGCCACCAGGCCCGGCAGGGTGGAGAAATGGCTGAGCGAGTGGAGGAGGCAGCCAAGGCCATCCTGAATCTGGGAGGTCACTGTGGGCGACCGAGAGAGTGGGGACCGTGTTGGGATTCCCGCATCCTGGACGGACAAAGATGCATGTGTGCATGTAGGCGTGGGATGCCTGGAAGATCAGAGGTCAGCTACAAAGGGCAGGCAGGTATGGATGCGGATGTTCTGAGTCCCAAGATTCACAGCCTTTCTGCCTTTTCCTGGTCACCCCTCCGGGGGGTGCTCCTCTCCCTCTGGCTCCAAGGACATTCTCCAGACACTTCCTGCATTGCTGCTATGTGCTGGGGCTTGCGTTCGCGAGCAAGATCACGTATCACTCTGGCCCTCAGGCTCCTTGTCCACACCCTCGCACTGGGCATTCCACTTGGAGAGCCTGAGGTTCTCACTGGAAGTGGTGTCCGCCCAGAGGCCGGGCTGTGCTGGAGAGGCTTGCCTCAGCACGCGGGATAAGTGCAGACTGGCTGGGAGGTGGGCAAGGAAGAGGTGGAGTTTTCCTTAGGCGACCTTGTGACCCATGGCTACTGTACCTCCTAAAATGCTGCCTCTCAGCTAGGCTGGGAACTCTGCTGTGGCCAGCACCCTCTGCCTTCCTTCTGGCAAGTTCTAAGAGAGGGTGAAGGCCTGGGGCTAGCCCCCACTCTGTTAGGCCTTCCCCTGATGAGGGTGCTGGGTTTGGTGATTTCTTGGGGTCCTTGCAGCTCAGACTGGGGGGCCGGTTCAGAGTTCCAAACCAATCTGCCACATGGCGATGAGGGCGGGAAGCAGTTTGGGTTGGTGGCTTCCGGAAGCCGGTGCGTCCCCTGGTGTTGCCTGGTCCTCCAACCAGCATCTTTCTCCACAGCAGGGTCCTTAGTGAGGTGCCACCGCTTAACGGGGGTGAGCCTTTTAGGCCGACCCTTATGAGTCGGGACATCGGGACTCCCTTGCTGTCACACCAGCGCCCTCCTTAGAAGGTGCTCACATTCTCACGGGGGCCTTGCCACCTGCTCCTTGCCCAGCAGCACATGGTGTGGGAGGGACAGTGGCCCTTCTTCTGGCCAGGTGGTAGTTAGGTCCCCCTGGAGTGGCTTGTAAGCACTGGGAGAGATGGCATTGCTGGGATCCTGGAAGTAGGAAGGCAGGGTCGGGGTGGGGGACAGGTGGCTGCAGAAGGAAGGAAAGTACTAGGAGCCGAGGAAGAGAGGAGAGAGAGAGGCTGCCCCCAGAGAGAAAGCCGGAGGAATTCAGAGGCAGCCACGAGCCAGCAGGCGTCACTAGGAGGGGAGGCCTGGGCTGACTCAGGAGTGGAAGAAGGCCAGAGCTATGGAGAGAGCCTGAGGGCCGTGTGGAGTGGGGTCTGTGCTGGCTGCCTTCCTCTCAAGTCAACAGACAGGCAGATGGACAGAGACAGAAAGTGCAGAGAGAGATGGCAAAGAAACATGTGGAGGAAGTCAAGGGGGAGGGAGGGACAGGGGCAGGTCAGCATGTGCCCCTCACACAGACCCATGCCCCCTCTTGTCCCCATGTTCCCAGGAAGGAAGGTGCTGCGGCCCAGCGGGGGCTTGGTCGAGGCGCTTCTAGGAGGCTGCGCACCATTTCTGCCCTTAACTGACTGTGGCTGAGCCTCCTTCCTGTAGACCTCTCTGGGTAGATTGGTGGCAAGGTCCCTCCGGGCCAAGGCCAGAGCATTCCAATTCACCTGTGATGTCTGTCAGCCAATAGCTGTGGCCCTGGTGGGTAGCCCAGGGAGCATGAGAGGGAGATGGAGGTGGTTGTGGCCTGTGGTTTGGAGAAGGGGTGTGTGTGTGCGCGCGCGCGCACTGTTTCCGAAGGGGACAAGGTGGCCCGGCGGGGACTGGTGCGGCTCACATCCCTTCCTTAAAGGGCAGAGTGGCCTGAAATGACAGCTTTAGCAAGAGGAGGGACGCCCCCCACTGGGACCTCTCACCAGTTCCTAAAAAAAAGAAGAAAAGAAAAGGAAAAGGACAAGACGAGACAAAAGAAAAAAGGAAAAGAGATGAAATCAAGCAAAAGAAAATCCCAGGGTCTGGTGGGGGAAACAGCGTGGTTAACGACTCCCGTCTGTGGGGAAGTGGTGTGTTCACGGAGGTGAGAGCTCCCGGGTCTCACTGGAAGGAAAGGAAAGAGGTAGCATCGAATCATCCTGGCAGGGGCTGTGGGCTCATACTCGAAGGTTTACTGTTTGGTTTTTGAAATCTTAAGTTTGTTACAAGAAGCAGGCTGCGCTGGGTGGGAGCAGGGGGCGCCCACGCTGTTCCCTGGGCTGGGGGGTTCTGTGGTCTAGTGGCTTGCCCTTTGTCTTCGTGAAAAGATGTAATTAGGGAAGTTTCTATCTCTTTAGGACAGCTCCTGGATTCTCTTTGAAATATGACGGACATGGCAGGAACTTTTCATTGGAGAAGTCGGGAAGGGAATTCGTATCTCCCAGCTTCTCAAAGGAAGGAGTAGAAAGGGTGGGCCAGATCGGGTGAAGACCTTCCAGCGCCAAGGCCTGTTTGGAAAGAGTGAAGGTGCTTTGGGGACAACACGTGGAGATGCAGCAGAGTGCAGGCTTGGGGCGTGAGGAAGGCTCCAGCTCACGGTCCCTCGGACACCTCTACCACCCAGTGGGGCTCAGGACCAGGGCCTACGGGGCAGGTAGCACCTGAGCAGGAGCAGCTGACCACCACCAAGCCCACCTGGGAGCATGTGACAGTGGCTTCCTGAAGCTCACATCAGGCCTAGTGTCTTTGAAAACCGCCTCAAGGAGACTTCTGGAAGCTGACACTTTAGTCCCAAATAGGTGGGCTGGATTCTTCTGCTGCAAATAATGCCAAAAAGGCACTTGCCTTCCCCTCCAGCCCTGGAAGGTGGCCCTGAGCCTGCTTGCCTCCCTTCCACTGCCCCACCGAACACCGACCAAGGTCCCACCCTGATGCCAGACACCACCAGAAGCAGCCCAAGTTCATGAAGAACCATCGGCAAAGGCAGACAAGCTCAAGAAAAGAAAACCAATGACAGAAGGAGCACTAAATGAAAACCAAAAAACCAAACAAAGAAAAGGACAGAAGGTCCAGCAGTGCCATGGATTCAGTACATTTCTAAGAGAATATGGCTTTGGAGAGATACACCGTCTGGGCGGGAAGGACTGGACAGGGCAATAAAGAAAGAACGGAAAAGCCACGGTGAGCGGAGGATGCAAGACTGGAAAAAAGAGAAGGAAGAGTTGGGGAGGCTTTTTTCTCCCCCCAGAGATGCCATTTATGAGAGAAAAGGGGCTCAAGACTCACTCCCAGCGGCACTGGTGGGATTGGCAGCAGAGAGAATTACGTGAGTAGGGGTAGAAAGATTGGTTACGTCATGGAGCTGGCTGAGGACCGAAGACCGCCGGCGCACAGCACCCTGAAATGAACCGCTTCTCTTGAAGGTACTCACTACCTCCATCTGTGGGAGAGAAAATGAGATAAAGTTTGGCTTGCACTGTTGTACCGGCTACCGCACGGGGGTGGGGCTGGGCGAGGACAGGGACCACACTGGGCACATATCATGACAGCGAAGCCTCATCTATGTCGCCCAGCTCCCTGGTGGGGCCGTGACCGTGGCCCAGGCTCGCCTCCGTGTCATCCACCAAGAGAGGTTTTGCTGAGCAAAATGATTAGTGCTCAGAAGACTGGGAGGGCAGGTGGTTAACAACCAGGCACACTGCAAACATCGACAGTCATTTGCATTCATGGTAAGCTCATGGCAAGCCACTCGTCAATAAATACCTGTGTCTGGCAATACTTTGTTATCCTAGGTCAGTGGTTTTCAACCTTTTTTTTTACGCCCCAACAAACCTGAGGGATATGACATGCTTCTATTAGAAATGAGGCTCCCTGCGGCAGCACCCCTTGATTGCACAGCAGGGGGAAAGGGGCCCCTCCCTGGGCCTCTCCTTCATTTACATGGCACCTCATCCTGCCAACCTGCCCTACCCCGCTGGGAGGTGCGGCCATTGCTCTCTTTCTATGGCTCATCCAGATGATTGAAGAGCAGCCAGGGGAGGCCTCCGTGGAAGAATGGATTTAAAAAGAGAGAGAGGAAGCCACAGGCATGATGGGAGGGAGAGCATAGAGCCTGGACCCGGGGGAACAGACTTGGCTTTTTGCTTTGTCCTCTACCCTTTAAGCTTCCTAGGAGTCAAAAGGGCAGTGGGTCTTCAGAAAATGAGAACCACGTGGGTGAACTTGCTGGGAGTCATAGTGTCTTTGGAGTTCTTGACCTGGCCTTGGGCTGGTATAGGGGCCTAAGGGAGGATCAGACCCAGGTGTGGGGTTCTAAGGAACTGCATCTGAGCGGCCACAGTGAATATCCTGCCATTGTGAGACCATGTGCCTAGCTTCTGGGAGGCCAGCCCAGTGTGGTGCCCTTTTGGCCATGTCTTTGGGAATGCCCTCAGTGTGGGGGTGGGAGGGAATATTTGGTGTCTTAGAAGGTAGATCTGATTTCCGGAAAGTGCTCTATAGCTCATTGGATGATGCGAACAGCAAAGCAAGTATGTATTTCTGGAGCCCGGAGCTCACCGTCTACCCACTTTGGGCCCAAGGACCTGTCCCACCCTCAAGCCCTGCAGTGGCTATGAGGTGGCCACCAGGTTCAGCGGGATATTTGACATGGGGCAAAGCTTCTTAGAAGAAGGCAGTTTGAGTGCTCAGAGTCCCCCTACCCCAACCAAAATGACCATGCCCATCATTCAACCCTTGGGCATGCTACAGAAAAGGTTTATTGTCCTGTATTCGGCTGCTGAGGCCCCCTTCTGCCCAGTACACCTGTCTCTTGAGCAGGGCAACTTCATGACCAGGGCTGACGCCTGTGAGGAAGGCATATTGAGCCTGCATGGGGTGGGGGCTGGCATAGTGCTGAGTGTGCCTGAGCACATGGAAGGAAGGTGACCCATCCCATAATGTCTCTTTGGAGGGGGCCGTGTCTCCTCTCTAGAATGAGCAGATGTTCCTGAAGCTATGGAGATAAGTCTGTCTCAAGAAGGACTCTTGCTGTGGCAAAGGTGACGAGGAAAGGGAAAGATGTCTTTGCTGCCTCTGACTTGGCCTCTCCCTGTGGTATCTTGATGGATTGATGGCATCAGTCAAAATACCGCAGAATTGTCATCCATCCTCCATTCCTGGAAGCCCAGTTGCTGCTGAAGCTTCTCATTGGTTCATAATAGAATGTGAAATACACCGCATCATGAGCACTCTGAAAAGCCCCATGTTCTGGATTTCAAGGACTTTTTTTTTTTTTAAAAATCATGGAATGGCATCCTAATGATCTGATGTATTCATAAGTTAGTATGAAAAGATTTGGAGAGCAAGTAGCAGGTTAGAAATGCCTTCACTTAGCAACATAAAAAGTTGTGCTGGCCTCTGAAATCTGGGGAGCAATTCTGTAGTTCACAAAATCCAGAAATCTAGGGCCAACTGCCTAGAGAAATATTTCTCTTTGCTTGGTGTGTGCATACAACCTGGGGGGACTTATTTCTGTTTTTCAAGCAGGTATTTTGAATAAAAAAGAACAGATACTGTTAAGAAGTGAGCTAAAGTATCAACTGGTTCAGCATTGTTGAGAAGCGTGGTGAATCTGATGTGACAAAGTCAAGATCTCACGGAGGAATGAGCGGCTCTGTGGAGAGGGCATGGAGTACGCGAGAGGATTGTGGATGGAGACATGGGCCTCAGCAGGCCCACACTCTCACTGGGTGACTTCGGTTAAGTCCCTTCTCTCTGAGCCCATTTCTTCTTGTGTAAAGGAGGGACCTGACTAGCCAGCGTCTATATGGACACTGGCAGTTGGAACAACCCGGAAGTCCAAGACTTCTACTGCGGGGACCCGCTCTTGTAGTCTGGCAGCAGTGGCGGGCCCCAGGGCCCACAGGCACACAGGAGACACAGACCCGCAGGTGGCCGGGGCATGACCGATCTCCCCTGAGATGCTTCAGATCAGGTCAGGGCTGCGGCCTCACCATCTTAGGTTCACTGATGAAAGCAAAATGGGGCTGCTGCTCTCCCTCCCACCACCCGCCCTGCCAAGGCTCATGCCAGTTTCAGGCTCTGCATGACAGACATACAAGAGCCCATCTGGGGCCAGGACAGGGTGGGTAGGAGCTCACAGTTAAGTGGCCAGAAGGCAATGAGGAGACCTAGACATCTGGCTGCAAAGGCTACTCCCGTTATTCTGCCAGGCACTCAGTGTTCTGCCAGACCTAAAAGAGTCTTCCCTGGCCACATGGGCTTAGGTGCTCAGCACACCAAGAGGAATGAGCCAGAGACCTGGCCCCCTGCTTCTCCACTGCAGAAGCCCCTTGGGCCCCTGGGGAGGTCCTTAAACATGGAGTTCTTTGGTGCCACCCCACCCAGCCCTAAAGGATCCCAAGCTCGGGGGGCGGTCCTGGACTCTGCAGCTTTGGAAAGTTCCCTGAGGTATTCTGCTCCTCACTGATTTCAGCACCCTGGACTGGGTGCACGAATGGCTGGTCATGGGGAGAAATAACTGCCATAACCGTGTTTGCCAACGGTCTATGAGGGTCCACGGGGGTCCATGGTGGTGGAAGGGAGTGGACTCTGAGAAGGCTTCACAAGGCAGTGGCCTTTGGGTGAGCTGCTACAGGATGAGGAGGGGCCCCGAGGGGACACAGCGGGAGCTGGGAAGGCCTGGGGCCCAGACAGTGGCCAGTATGGAGGCACAGCAAAGCAGGTAAGCAGAGCGCACATCTGGAAAGGCAGCAGGGGTTACGGGGGCACAGAGTGTGTGGGGTGACACTAAGGGGCGGGGGCTTGAAGGGCACTGTCTGGACCCTGGATTTCACCCTTAGGACAGGGAGAGAGGCTACATGTGCAAAGGTACGGAGAGTGGCTTCGGAGGGGCCGAGCTGAGCAAAGGCTGGCAGAGCAGGCAGGAGGCTGGGAGCTCGTGGACAGAGTTGAGGCTGAAGCCTGGGGAAGAGAAGAAGAGTGCCTGAGGCTGAGCCCCATGAGCCGCCCAGGGATTGTGCAGGAGCCGTGTGCACTGGGAGGTAGCAATGGACCTGGGGTGGTGCAGGCACAGGCTGCCGAGGAAGGGTACTTCGGGCATGTTGCATGGAAGGTTCTCTGGGATGAGCGTGTAGGAGTCTGTGACAGGCTGGAGGGCAGACATCAGGGAGAGATGTGTCTCAGGTCGTGCCCTGGGCCAAAGGGCCTAGGCCAAGGCAGGAAGTTACCTAAACAGACTCTGGAGAAAGGCCAAGCCAGGTCAGATGGTATCCTTCTTTCTGGTAGGACCCTCAGGAGCTTGGGAGGAGATGCCGTTGGAGCTAGGCCAGGAGCCGTCAGGCTGGGGGTCCTGGACTGGAGGTGAGGCAGCAGGAAGCACAGAAGCGGCAGGGACTGGTTAAGCTGAGAGGAGGTTTCTGGGGTCCAGGGTGGCAGTAGGATTGAGGACTTGCATTCGAGGAGGCAGAGCTGAGCTGATGAGCCATGCCAATGCACCATGTGTGCAGGGAGACCAGAAGAGGGTTTGGGATGCCTCTGGGGCTCTGGAGTCACCGGTCAGGAGCTGGTGGGGAGTGCTGGGAGGAGGTGAGCTGGGGGCTGCAGGGCCTGTGGTCTGGCCTTACCCAGCGTGGGTGCTGTGAGGCATCTTGGTGTGAGTGTGGCGCTCTGGGGTTCTTGGCTGGGCAGAGGAAGAGGTGGTGAGTGACGGGCACCAGGAGCTGGCCCAGAAGAGACCAGCGTCCATGGGGCCTAGTGGAGCAGGCAGGCAGGGGCTGAAGGAGAAACTGAACGAAAGGGGGCTGCAGGTGACTCAATGGGGCTGAGTGCTAAGGGCTGAGGGTCAGGTGGGATCCCCCACAGGTGGGGCAGCTCTAACCCACTTCTCCTTCCTTCCCCACTGGGTCCAATGCCCCTGGGTCCATGGGGTTTTCAACACATGAGGGCCATAGCAAGGTAGGCCGATGTCTCAGTGGGAGGCAAGGGTACCAGGCGGGAACACAGAGTGAAGTGGAGAGGGGACAGCAAGTTGCCAGGGAGAGCAGGGATGCAGCACTTCTGGAAGGGCTCTGGGAAAAGCTTCAAAGCAGGAAGGAAGAAGGAACAGCCTGACCCTGAGAACCGGGAGGATGCCTTGCGGACCTTGACAAGAACCTCTGGGACGCTGAGGGCAGAGGCTAGGCTGCGATGGGATCACACGTGAGTGTGTGGGAAAACCACGGAGAGACAGCGAGTATGGAACATTCTGGCAAGGAGGCTGGCTGGGAAGAGTTGGGGACAGAGAGCAGGGCTGGCTCTGCCAGGCAGGCTCTCATCAATCTTTGGCAAATGGCCGCGGCTGGGCAATCATTGTGGCTGTGTGACTTTATAGAGGACTGCAGCCCTGGTATTTGTAGAGTAGTGTGAACAAAAAGGACCAAAGAACAGTGAGCTCGCCAAGGGTTACTTGAAATGGGCATCTAGGTCATCCTCAGCATGTCCCTTTTCCGTGACCTGGGACAGCTTCTTCCAAATACAGGGAGACCCAGCAGCTCCTTGGAGCCCCCAGAGAGACAGCCACTGGTCACAGCACACACCTGTAGCTGACTCCTGTTCCTGCTATGGGGAGGGCCACCTGGGCTCTAAGGGAGGTGTCAGGGGCAGGTGATCTCAGTGCCACAGCTGCTGGTAGGTACGTCTGCGGATGGCATAGGGATACTAGCAACTGCCCTTATGATCGTGGCCGCGAGACCAAAGGGTTTCCCTGTCAGTCTCAGGCTCATCTCGCCCCACTCTGCCTTTTGTTTGCTTGCCACTCTCTTGAGGCACAAAAGCCGGAGTAAGCTTGTGGCATGGCAGCTTACCTGTGTCTGGATCCGGTTGAGGCCCCGGAACCAGAGGATCTGGCCTCTGCGGAGCTCTCGCTCAGCGTGGTCAATCTCTTCCTCCCCCTCGGCCAGCTCCTCGTCGGTCATCTCGTCCTTCCCGGGCCCGTGCCCTGCTTCCTTCAGGCACTTGAGCTGGCTGGTGGGAATGGTGGCAATGACCTGGGGGGGCCGGAGGCAAGGGACAACAGGCAGAGGCGGCCATCAGAGCAGTGCTGGGCTGTTCAGGGTGGGAGCTCTGCTGGGGCCCAGAAGGGACCCAGACTGCTCATCTCCCTCTGACAATGGCCGAGCCGGTGTCTGTGTCTCCCCACAGTTGGGACTGGACACCCCTTCCTTGTCCCTGAGGCTGCAGGCCTGGCCTGCTTTTGCATGGTGCCAAATCCATTCTCCAGAGGGAGAGCCAGCCTTTTTCCTCTGGAGGGCTTTGTTTCCCATGTTTAATCAAACAGAGCAGACCCAAAGCAGTCCCTGGGGAGCTAAGTGTGGAGTATTTTCCAGAGAGGGAGCAGTGATATGGCTTCATGCCAGGGCCCTAGGCCGGGAAGTGGGGGTGGGCTGCAGCACCCCAGTATGCATGCCTATGGCTCCTCCTTGTAGCCCCTCAGCCAGCCAGAGGGCCAGGGGAGCATCTGGTGCAACTTTCCCACATAGCATGTGAACTAAGGGATTTGCCTTACCAGAGGGAGCTCTGGCCTTGGCCTGTAGCCCTTGGGAGAGGACCTCTAGGTCCCTGGCAGTCCTGCCTAATGAGAAGGTCTTGGTTTGCTTGGGCCAAAGGCCCTGCCTCATAGTCAATGCTGACAGAGTGCTTTCCGATGGGCGCTTGGACCGAGCACAGGAGCTTGACCTCCAGGGACTGGAGACTGAGTGACCGAGGTCAGCCACGTGGGTGCTCCCGGCCTGCAGGGCCGACCCCCAGGGAGTCCCTGGACACCACTGCTCAGGGGAGCTCCCCCGGTGGCAGCACTCTGTGCGTGTCGTCACACATCGCTGCTGAGAGACACTGTGCTGGCCGCACGACTGCACGCGCAGGGGGCCGGGAAGCTTGCGCCTGGTCTCTCCTGGACCCGCCATAAGTATGCTTGATCTTGAACTTGCAGCGTCTAGAGCTGTTGGAGAATACCCTCTGCTGTTATGCCGTCCAGTCTGTGGTATTTGCTGTGGCAGCCTGAGGTGAGTAACACATAGGACAAGGTGGATCCTGGACCCAGCACCCTTACCAGTGCTCTAGCTCTTGGGGGAAATGCTCTCAGAGGCCTGGGCTGGATCCTCCTGTGCTCTGAGCAGCCCCAGCACCCAGGCTCTTTCTTCCTGACTTCACCCCTGGGTGTGTGAACTCCCCTCTGAGTACGGCTTTAAGTACAGCCCACAGAGCTTGAGGTGTCAGAGTTTCGCTTTCCATCAGCTCAAAGTATTTCCTCATTTCCCTGGAGATTTCCTCTTTGCCATGGAGGCTTTAGCAGAATGTTGTTTGTTTTCAAATTTCGGGGCACTTTCCAAGGCACCCGGTTTTAAGAAATGATTTTCAGGTCCCATCATGAAAAGAAGAGTGATGGCTGGTTTTGCCAAGGCCCTGTGACATCTGAGCCATGGCCCTTTGCCTTCCCTCTGCTGACACTGTCACTTGTGGCCTTGCACCTGAGTCGTGGCATGTCCCAGGCCCGAGTCTTCCTGTGTGTGCCACCCACCCGAACATGCTGCATGTTTTCCCAGGCTTGGGCTCGGAGGCTCTGGAGCGGGGAGCTGGGGCAGGGGTCCCTGGGCTGCCCGCGGTTCCCTGGCCTTGAGCTCAGCACCAGCACTTGCAGAGCAGACAGGAAGGGGGCAGGACTACGAAAGCTGATGAGGCAGACACTCACCTGTCCCCAAACCAGCTCCCCGACGCCAACAAACAGGCACCAGAGCCACTGCTCCGTGGACAGGGGGGAGCAGCTGAAGGGCTTCCCACCAAACTGGACGATGACAATCTGCAGGAGAGGGGCGGGAGGGAGGCGGGTGCAGCCGACACACCTACTGATACCACCCTCCTCCTCCAGCATGTGGCCCGTCTTGCCCTCCAGGGTGGCCCTGCCGCCCTGTTCTGAGACTCACAGGGGCTGTTGGTTCTCCCAGGCAGATGGACTTAGCAGATCAGCCACATTTCCAGCTTCTGTAAACTTGATGCTTAACATCTACCCTGCGTGCATATGCTGGACATACCTTGTTCTGGACACCCTGGTGACACGCCCGGGCAACTGTGCCCGGGTGGCCTTGCCTGAGCCTCCTGCTTCCTCATTGCCTCCTCCTTGGGAGGAGGCCGCCGCCCAGTGGTGAGCTTTAAAAATACAGACCAATCGCCTCCGCTACTGGGCTCTCACACTTCAGGCCGCCATCCCCCATCCTATTCTTCCAGAGCCAGGTTCCAGACAACCGGGGACAGCCCTCTGCCCCAGAACTCTGAAGTCACTCACACGAGCCAATCCTTAGCCTGCTCACCCTGCCTCACAGTTCCTCCCTTAGAAACTGCAGTAAAGCCTCTTTCTTGCCCACGGTTCGCCACTGCCCCTCAGCCTCCTGACTGACCCAGGTGCTTTCCCGGTGGTTCGCCATGGCGTGGCAGACCCCCTCCTCCGAGAACTGTGAGGAACAAACTATTCTGGCCTTTTGGCCTCACTATCCGTCACATTTTTTGTTAATATACCCTGTGTTCAAATGCTCAGCCCCTTCTGGAGAGCTGACCGACCAGCCTGCCCATAGCACTGTGGTAGGCAGAGGTGTCTGTGTGTCAGCACTGGGGACAAGGGCATCTCCAAAGGAAACTTCTGGAGTTATGGTGGCCTCCCACCAATGAGTCAAGTGTTAGAAATGGCAGTGGCAGACCCAGAGGGACCTGTAAGAAGGTCAGGTCTGAGAAGGCCCACTGAGACCCTCTGGATAGCAGCAGGTGGACCCAGGGTGTGGTCTGCCTTTGATTCACTCAGAGGCCAGCAGCAGGGGACATGGCCACCTGCTCCCCCACCTTTTCCAAGCATGGAGCCACTCCTTACCTGGATTGCAAAGGTGCCCAGGACGATGGTGCAGAAGATGGGGTTGCCAAAGATGCCATGGAAGACATTGCGCTCGCCGTGGATCTTGCGGGCATTGATTTCATTGAAGAGCTGCATCATGACGAAGGTGTTGAAGATGATAGTGTAGTGCTCCGAGGGTGGTGAGTGCAAGGGTGCATTCCTCCCACTGTCGATGTCAAAGAAAAGCTCCCCTGCAAGCCGAGGGGCGTGTGAGGGGGCAGGGCCCCAAGCCAGGCACAGCCCTGACCCCTCCGTGAGACAACTGTGAGGGGAGAGTAAGGAGTCCCTCACCCCACAGGGTGAAAGCCAAGGTCAGGTACTGGACCTGGGGGGTGAGGGACTGGCACTGAAACCTGAAACCCGAGGGCAGGAATGAATAAGTTGAGACAGACACCTGGCTCATCTTTTCTCATCTGCCTACTGGGTCGAGCTGGGGGTGGGCTGGGAAGGAGTCGGAAGGCCACAGGGTGCAGGGCAGCCCGGCCCTCCTCTGTCTTGCGTCTAGGACAAGGCAGCCAGCCTAGGTCCTTGGGCAGGCCATGAGAGGCTCCTGCTCCCAGGAAATGAGAGAAAGGTCTCCCAGACGACCTCCAGATACTGATAGGTGCCCCCCCACCGACCACGAGTCCTGCACCCTGAGCTTTGAATCTGCCCCCAGGAGTATGAGCTGAAAGCTGAGCCTCACCAGGCTCTGGAGTACTGTGACGGTGACCCAGGCCCGCCCATGGTCCAGGGTCACAGATATAGGGACAGCCACCCGCCATAAGGGATAGAGGTCACAAACAGACAAACCAACAACACCATCCCATATATGAATCAAGAAATCTGCTCGATGGAGCCTGCCTGACACAGAAGAAAACTCAGAGGACTGGACAGCCGACACTGGCACCAGGCTCCCAAGAAGCAGCCAGCGTGCTGGAGGGCTCAGTGTCCTTCGTATCTGGGCTGTAGGCACAGCCAGTGGCGGGGCCCCATGGCTTTCACGCTGAGCATCCTCTGCCCAGCCACTGCCCATCAGCCCATCAGCCCTTCCCTCTGCTGCCCACACTCCGGCTTGCGCCTGCTCCCCTCCCCTGCCCTCTGCCTCCTTCGTGCTTTCTGACCCTCTCTTGCCCCTTCCCCTCCTCTCCTTCTCCTCTGCTCCTCTCCCTCTTTCCCTTCGCTCCTCCATCTCCCCTTATGCTCTCTCTCCTCCTCCTTACCCTTCCTCTCCTTCCTCCTTCTTTCCCCCTTCTCCCTTTCTCTTCCCCCTCCTCCCTCCAGCTTCCCTTCTTTGCCACCCGTCCTCTACCCCCTTTTCTTCTCCCTCCCGTCCCCTCCTCCTCCCTCCCCCTCTCCCTCTGCCCTTTCTCTCCCGGCCCTCCTCCTCCCACACCTTCTAGCAGAGTGCTCAGGTCATTGTCCCCTGGAGAAACAGTCATGGGCTGAGTGGGCAGATGGGTGAATGATCTGGGTCTGGGTGTATAATGAGAAATGCCACCTGCTCTGTGGAGCAGTGGACGGTTTCTCAGCTGCTCAGGGACCTGTGACACCTAGGTGGGGCATACACAGAGAGGAACAGCAGGAGGTGAGGGCCAAAGGGGCCTCACTGCAAAGCGGGTCCCCAGGTGTTCATCTGTGTCTTCCACCGCCAGACCGGGTTGGAGCCCGAGGGGCCAGTAACAGCGCAGTGTGCCCCGGGCCGACCTACCCACGAACAGCAGCGTGAAGATAATGGTGAGCTGATAGACTGCATGGCCCAGGATGTTCTTCATCATGGTTCGGGAGATCAGGGGCTTGTCTCGGCCATACGGCTTCCGCAGCAGCAGCGACTCAGTGGGCGGCTCTGTCGCCAGGGCCAGAGAGGCAAACGTGTCCATAATCAAGTTCACCCACAACATCTGCACGGCTTTGAGAGGAGAGTCCTGTGGAGAGGAGGCAGTTACCCCAAGGTGGGACTGGAAACCCCACCGGCTCTGACTCCTGGGAAGAAAATCAGCTCAAGGTCAATGTCACTGGAATTTCATTTAATTGAAATTGCAACAAATCCAATCTTCCCATAAAATGCTTTCTTAAGGTTAGCAGAGAGACTTCCACTGGCCTTTCTGATTCCTGCTTTTACAATGTTCCCAGTTTCCCTTCTTCTCCCACCTGGTGGCAATCATCTAGATTCTAGAAGGTGTGGTCCAAATTGTTAGCAGGTTGACAGCTGCCCCAGACTGTGAAAGAGCCTGACTCACGGGTGGTCTCCTGCTCTCCCACAGCCAAGGGGCGGGAAGAGGCAGAAACTCTGCACCGGACCTTCTTTTTCCTCATCATCTCTGAGTTGTTGGTTAAAAATAAGACTCACAGAAGCCAGACACCAAGCACCACATACTGCATGATTCCATTCCTATGAAACTTCCAGAACTGACAGATCCACAGAGACAGAAAGGAGATGAATGGGTGCCAGGGGCTGAGGAAGGGAAGAGTGGGGAGTGATTACTTAGTGGGTATAACGGTGATGAAGAAAGTTCTGAAATGAGATAAAGGTGATGATTGCACAACATTGGGAATGTACTAAAAACCACTGAACTGTACACTTTTAAATGGCTAAAATGGCTATTATGCTGCAGTTTATGTTATATGAATTTTATCTAAATAAGAACACCTTTGAAAGGGATACAAATTCTGGACACTCTCTAGTGGGAAGAATTGGACTATTGATAAAGGCAAAGAGGCCCCTTCGAAGGTTAAATACGGAGTTCCCAGAGGACCTAGCACTTCCCCTTGTGGGTCTAGACCCAGGAGAACTGAAAACGTCAGTCCACAGAAAGCCTCATTCATGCATGTGCACAGCAGCATCATTCAGAGTAGCCAAAAGGTGAAATCAATCCAAATGCCCATGGATGGAGGAAGGCGTACACAACATGTGCTGAAGCCACACAATGAAGCATTCTTCCGCCATCCAAAGGAATGAAGTACTGATCCAGGCTATATAACATGGATGGACCTTGAAAACATTGTGCTAAGTGAAATGAGCCAGACACAAACAACCACATATTGTTTAATTCCATTTATATGAAATGTCCAGAATAGGTAAGTCTGCAGAGACAGAAAGTAGATTGGTGGGTGCCAAGCACCGGGAGAGAGGGAATAGGGAGTGCCTGCTAATGGGTATTGGGGTTTCCTTTTGGGATGATGGAAATATTCGGGAACTAGATAGAGATGATAATTGCACAATACTATAAACGTACTAAGCACCACTGAATTGTATCCTCTCAAATGGTGAGTTTTTTGGTATGTGGATTTTATCAGTTAAACAAAAAATCAGCAAAGAAAACACCTGACTCTCCCAACTGGGCCCACAGGTGGGGGCTGTTCAGGCTGCATGTGGGGTCCCCTGGGCTTTCTCTTTGCACTGGGGTCCAGGTATACGGATGGGGCAAGCAGGGCCTCGGACACCGGCTGCCTCCTACAGGCCGCATGGGTTATGGGAGGGAGAGCCCAGGGTCCTCCTTGGGCAAGGCGGTCCCCAGTGCCCACCTGAGTGATGCAGGCGCCTGTGAAGGCCACGATCACAGCCACCACGTTGACTGTCAGCTGGAATTGCAGGAACTTGGAGATGCTGTCATAGACGTTGCGGCCCCACATGACCGCCTTGACGATGCTGGTGAAGTTGTCATCAGTCAGGATGATGTCTGAGGCCTCCTTGGCCACATCAGTCCCTGCGATGCCCTGGGGGACACACACACAGTGTCCAGGGGCCCATTCCCCACTCCCCTTCGACCACCCAGCCCACCTGGCTGACTCCTTCTTTTCTTTCTAAATGGGGCTCCCCACCAGCTGGGAACAGCTCTCATTTCATCCAACACATCCTTGTGCTATGAATGCCAGAGAGTCTCACGGCTTTGTTCACGAACAAAGAGGGTGCTGCTGCTGCACGGTCCAAAACAGGTCTGTTCAGTCTTAGCATGCCAGAGCAGCTGCATAAGGAGCCCCTGAGTCCTGCGCAGGGACCCTGTCGGTAGAGTGAGGACATGCCATCCTGGCCACACGGGTGTTTGGAGAAGGACCACCCCCCCATCCTTGTTTCTTGAAGGCTCTGACGCAGGAATAGCTTGGTTCTTCTAGCGCCCAGGGGCTGGGTCTTGGTCCTCTTCTGGGTTCTCGGGTTCTGGGAAGGACAGGCCCGTGTCCCCAGTGCTTGCCAACGGTGGGCTGCACTGAATGTGGCACAGTGAAGGGCATGCCTTCTCAGTAGGGCAGGGAGAGGGGCTTGCTGGATTCCTTCCCTGAAGAAGGCCGCGGTGCCAGGGCCAGCCACCTGGGCAGCACGGACCAGGTCACCCCGCTCAGTGTGGTCAGGGTTTTACAGAAAGGACTAGCTTCATATAAGCAACAGAAGAGAAGCACAGAGGCAAAGCTTATCTCGGGACTCCGCTGATCACACTTGGGCAACTGAGGAGACTCGGGCACTTAGAGGAGACTGAGAGTGAGAGAGGTGGGCGCACAAGTGACAGGTCCCCCCAACAAGCCCTTCAGCAGTGCGGCCAGTCCCCACTGTCACCTTAGGCACTATCACACCAAATACTTTTAAACAAATCATGTGTGTCCCTTGACCGGCAGAGCCTGCAGAGGCCCAAGTGGCCAAGATGTGAGAGAAAGAAATCCAGACACTCTACATCTTGCCTTAACACTAACTCCTGCATAAAGCTAATGTCCTAGAGACACAAGGCCCTGCCAGGCATGGTGAGCCAGTCTGGCATCGGTGGCTTACCATGGCGAAGCCCACGTCTGCCTTCTTGAGGGCTGGCCCATCATTCGTGCCATCCCCAGTCACGGCCACCACCTGCCGCTGCTCGCCGGTGGTGCTGTCAATGATCCCTGAAACACAGTGGGGCCCTGTGTGACCAGCCCGAGGGGGCCGGGGGGTGGGGGTGGTTGGGTCTGGAAACACTCCAGTATTTTGACTGTGCCCGTTGCCCCCCGTCTCCCGTGCTCCTTGTCACCATCAGGATCCAGCTGCTGTGCCTTGACCGGGAGCCCAATATCCCTCCTCCTGCCTGGGTCCATCACACAGTGAGATGATACAAGGTGGTGTCATTTGGTAGAAGGCAGGGACCCAGCACTATGTGACTTGGACGTGTCCCTCTCCTGGGCCTCAGTTGCCCCATCTGTTACATGAGAAGCTAGGCTCAACTGGCATAGTCCATTCATGTTGTTAGCCCAGAGAAAAGGAGGGGTAAGCTCTGGTATGTCAGCCCTTTGAGGTGCTGGTGGGTTTTTTGGTATGTGGATTTTATCAGTAAAATCCTGACACCATTATTTTCCCCATTTTTCCAATGAGTAAACTGAGGTTCAGGGAGGGCCAGTGACTTGCTTGCAGACAACAAAACTACTCTCCAATAGCAGCGGGTCTAGAGCCAAGGACCCCACTTCTAAGGCAGGCCCTGGAGGCCCATTTGAGAGCTCGGCTTTGGGTGTCTAGGAACAGAAAAAAATGCAGGAAGGACAGCCACACCCAGCCAGCATCATGCCACCTCGGAAAGGGGAAAGAGAAGGGACAGGGGCGAGCAAGAGTAAACTTGCTCCATTACCTTTGACCAGAGTGTGCTTGTCTGTGGGAGATGATCGGGCAAGGACCCTCAGCTTGGGCCACACCTTGTCCAGACGCTCCTGTTCTATCTGGAAGGGGGAAGCACACTGCTGCAGAGCTTGGGCGGGCAGGCAGGCAAGGCTGAGCAGAGGTGGTGGGTACGGGTGGAGAAATAGCCAGAACCCTGGACAGAGACAGGCAGCCCCCCATGGGAGGGCAAATGGGCTGGGAACTACCTCTCCTTTCTCGTTGCGGATCCTCCGGTTGAACTCCTTCCCCTCCAGGCACAGGAAGTCCTCCCCGGGCTGGATGATGCCACACTTGGCTGCAATGGCCCGGGCCGTGTTGATGTTGTCCCCGGTCACCATTCGGACTGTAATGCCAGCACGTTGGCATTTTCGGATAGCTTCAGGGACCTGGAAGAGATGCTAGAGGTGGGTGGGGTCATCAAGGCAAAACACTATCTATCGTGTCCCCTTCCTCCCTCCAGATCTGCAGCACACCCACCCACCACCCCTGTGGTCCCGAGGAAGGGCTTCTGCAGAGGGGTGGGCCTGGAGGGGGCAGGGAGAATGGCCTGCATGCTCTGCCACTGCCGTCAGCATAGTACCTAGCGAGTACCTAGTCCCTCAGTCCCTCAGCTCCCATCCCCCCAAGGTGCCTCCTTTCACTGTGTTGGGGCCCTGGGACCAGCAGCAACTCAGATCCAGGCCCTGACACCACAAGCAAGGCTTGGAGAAGCTACTGGAAAGCTATTACTCTGTCTAGGGTCACTGTCTGAATGATGTATGGAAAGGTGACTGTAGAAATCACCCAGCTCCGTCCATCTCATTTTCCTCTGCAATACGGGGACCCAGGGCTGCTGAACGAGGATCGGCCCTGGTTACCAGGCTGGGTGGTACGGTGGTTGTGTTTCTGGAAGCATCAGAAAGGAATCTCTGTCACCAGTCCCGCGGCCAGACGGCAGGGCCCACTGTGGGCCTCTCTCTTTGGGGCCTGACTTAGGGCAAGCTCTCAGCCGTCAAGTGGTTTGTGGCCAAGCTCTGGACAACTCTCTCACTGGTCTCTCCCAACTTTTCTTTCACAATATAAAATCTAACAACACATTTAGAGCTGCAGGTTTTACTACTCATAGAAGAAATGGAACATCGCTTGGTTACTTAGCATGCATTTCCATTTTCCACATATGATATTAGATTCTGGAAAAGGGGAAAGAAAAAGAGATCTCTTTAGTGCTGGATGGAAAAAGGGCTGAAGGGAGTTGAGGCCAGCTTGGAGGTGGTGGCACCCTACCAAAGAGTGGAGATGCTCCTGCTCCAAACCAATGCGGAGGTGACTCTTGAGCCCAGAAGCTGCCGAGAGCTCTGAGCAGTGGACTCAGAGTTTAGGCAATTGGATAAGGAGGTTTGGCCTAGGCCTGTGAGATGCCCAGACGCAGCCCCGGCAGGGGAGCTGTGGCCTGCGGACCTGGCTGCCTGCTCTGTCCAATGGACCTAGCGCATCCACCTGATGCGTGCTCACTGCTCCCAGCTGAGACAGAGGCCCTGGGGACAGTCTGAGCCTGAGGAGAGAGAGAGTGTGAGAGCACGTAGTGTCCCAGGTGAGGCCCAACAGCCAGGCCTGGGTGCCCAGGGACCGGGAGGTGAGCTGGGCCACCAGGTGGTAGGGATGGGGCAGTGCAGCTGGGAGTCCTCCAGGGGAGGTGGACAGCAGGTGGGACCAGGAGGGGTAACAAGCGGACACTGACTTGGGAGGTCCCATATGCTGGTGTTCCCTGAGGTCATGGGAGGAAAAAATGGGCATCAGAAGGAGGGGGGCCCAAGGCCCCATCAGAGCAGCCCCCACTTCAGGGCTGTCACAGAGTGACCTGATGATTCCTGAAGCAAATACTGCCAAGTGGCCCGGAAGGCTGAGCCCCAGGAAGGGGGCTTGCCTCCCGCACCCATAGTAATGTGCCTCAGGGATGCTGTCTACTCTCTGGGACTCTTGGGGTTCTGGATGATGAGCTATAGGGAGATGTTCCCCTTCCAAGGAGTTCCCTTGTGTCCTGGCAGTGTGTGGAAGCCACCCCTCTGCTGCCACCAAGTGCCTGTGATGAGCCTGAGAGCTGGGAGCCCTGCACCAGGCCTTGCTCCCCTGTTCCATGTAGGTAGCAGGAAGCCCCCCTCCTTCCAAGGACACCCTCTCCTTCCTCAGGCGACTGCCCTTCCTCACTTGTCTCCCTGTGGCCCAGCCCTAGCTCAGCCCACTTGCCATTAGTACAGCTTGCCGCCAAGGGTCCCTGTGCCAGCCTCCCCACCCTGCCCAGGGCAGAGGCCTCAGTCCTCCTTGAGCCGCAGTCATCTGGCCCCCAAGATTTAGCAGAGATCCATCCACCCTCCTGCCTGCACTGGCACCCAGGGCTCTGCGGGGCCCTGGCACTCTCTCCTTGGCCGCGACCCTGCTGGCTGATCTCCGTGGGCGTCTGCCTGGTCTCCCCAGCCTGACCGTGCCAGTGCCATCTGCTGTGCAGACTCTCACTCCGCCACTCTCAAGCCTGAGAGAAGTTGTCTCTTTCCCTGGGCCCTGTCACCAAGGTCATTTCTGGATTTTAAACAAGCAGCCATCGCTGGCCATGGGCCTCTCCTGCCCTGAGCTTCTGCCTGCTGGCAGCTGCTACAGCTGGGCCTTCATTGTACCCTTCAAGGGACTTGTGCCTCTGTTCCACATTTTCTAAGATGAAAGCTTACCAAAATAATAACATCCTACTCTGAGAAGAATACTGAGCAGGAGCAGGGCCGGGCCTCACCCCATCCATGTGCAGCCATTCTGGACAGTTCCATCTGCCTCCATCTCCCCTAGTCTGGCCTCACTGGCACATTGTAAATGAGCCAACTTGGACCAGAAGATCTACAAACACATCTAAGGTCTCCAGCCTTACATCTATGACTCAGCTTCAGTTTGTTCAACAAATATTTCTACCAGAATTTAGGGCTCCTTGGCCTGGGGAATCAGGCCAGAAGAGCTCCTTGTGCTGTGTGGCCAAGAGCTGTTTCACACCACACAGCCGGACAAATGGCTGATGTGGAAGGGGAGGTGGGGGAGGTGGGCTGGTTGTGACTGTGTGGAAATGGCCTTGGCCAGGGCCCTGGGAGCCAGGGAACACCATCTTCCTGGGTCTATGACACACTCCAAAGGAGCTCCAGCTTCCTGGCAGCATCATGCAGCCTCAGAAAGTTGGGTAGAAAGGTCTAGAGCTACCACTGTACTGCGGATACCTCCTCGGAAGCAAGGAGGGGACACCCACCACCTGGGAGCAGTGCTGAATACCAGCTCGGGGGCTGCAGCCATGCTGCGGGGCAGAGGTGTGTGTGAATGGTTCCATTCAGAAGGTCAAGGCCATTAGGTCTATGCGAGGACAACAGGACTTTAGGGCTCAGTTTCACTGTGTGGACACAGCCCTCCTCCACACTGCACCTCAGTTTCCCCGTGGTTGGATGAAGGGAAAGGCCCGTCCCTTGTGTCCCTGAGGGTGGCCTCGCTAACCTCAGCAGCACCCTCGCCCACTGCTCTCCCAGGCTGCCCCTCCCACTGCCCCTTTCTCTGGGCCTGTTCCTCTGTCTAGAAGTCTGTCTCCTCCCATCTGCCACTGTTCACTTACTCCCAGGGCCTCTCTCTGCACATCGTGGTCCCAGTCTCCTTGGAATTCGGGGGCATGTGGTCACAGACAACCTGTGGCTGGTGTTTAGATGTGGCAAGCACTGACTTTTGAATCGTGGGACATTCATATGTGATCTAGTGTGTGAATGCCTGTCTCCTGAAATGGAGCCCAGAAGCTTCTCCTTCCTCATCTAGGCATCCCCCCACTATGGCTGCCGGTACATGTGTATGTGTTCGGGCTAATCAGCAGGATCAGAGTGTCCCTGACTCTCACACGAAGTGAAGAAGCCCTGGAAGGAGAGAGAGGGTCCCTCCTTGCCTGTGGAAACCTGCATCCCCTGTGCCTTGCACACTCCCTCCAGGGCCTGATGTGCTTCCCCTCCCTGGAGGATGTCCTCCCCATCTTGAAGGACCACCCACACCCTCTATTGGTCCTTTACTCTCTATCATGGCCAGCTCCAGCCCCGTTTCTCTTCAGAAAAGGTCTTGAGAAAGTTGTCTATATGTCCTGGCTCCCTGCCTTGCCATCCCACAGAACCTGCTCAGGCCAAGATCTCCAATGAACTCCTAATGTCAAGAGCCCGCCTCTGCCCCGACCAGGTTAAGCCATTCTCTTGCTCTGGCCACCACGGCCCTCAAGGTTTCTCCTCCTTGCCTGGCTCCTTCCTTTGAGTCTCCTTTGAATGGCCTCTGCTCCAGTTGCATACCCTCCCCTAGACATCATTCATGTAAAGATGCTTCTGGAATCTCTCTTCTGCTAAGACCATTGCCCCGAGCTCTGTCCACTCCTATAGCCACCTACCCACTTGACATCTCCACAAGGATGTCCTGGACCTTACTTGGCACCAATCAAGCCCTCGACTTAGAACTATCCTCCTTTGTCCCCTGAACCTGTTGTGTCCCCTTGGACTTCCCAGGCCAGCGATGGCAGTGCCATCTACCCACTTTGCCAAATCAGAGCCCCAGAGTCTTGCTGTCTCCTCCCTCTCCCTCCATCAGTCCTGTGGGTGTCGCAGGCATCGAACTTCTAACTTCCACTTTCTCTCACTGGGTGGAGGCAGAGCCTAAGCCAGGTGAGGAGGCCCAGCAGGAGGGGCCATTCCAGTGGGCAGGACAGAGCCTCCATGTGGGTGCAAGGGTGAGAGGACAGGCAGCGTCAAGTGTGCCATGGAGGGTCTGATTTAGGGAGTAGTGGCTATGCCCCCTGGAGGACCTGAAGTTCTGTCATCACCCACCTTTCTGGACTCCTGTGGGTGACCAGTTTGTTCTACCTGTAACTCTGGCAAGAAGTGGTATGACAGATGGGAAGGCAAGAGAAAGAGTCAGTTCTCTCCTTGCATTTATGTCCAAAGGCCACACCATGAAGGGCTACCCCTTCCTGAATCCCAACAACCTGGGCCTCTCTTGGAGGAGAGAGTGGCTACCTCAGGCCGCACAGGGTCCTCGATGCCCACGACGGCTATGCAGGTGAGGTCGCCCACAACTTCGTTCTCATTGTCCCAGTCAGGCTCCTGGGTGGCAGAGAAGTCCCGGTAGGCGATGCAGATGGTGCGGAGGCCATCACAAGCCATCGGCTCGATGATCTTCTTCACCATGTCATCCCGGTCCCGAGGGCGGAAGCCGCGCAGTTCACCGTTGCTGTTTAAGATGTTGGTGCACCTGGGGCAGGGACAGGGCAAGGAGAGTCACTGGCTGAGAGCCTGGGCGGGTGAGGGCCTGAGCCTCCATGTGACACAGCAGAGGCCTTTCCAAGGAGGGAGGCACTTTGCTCATGTGGGGCCAAATGGTATATCCCCCAAAATTCTTGTTCTTCCCAGAATCTCAGAATGTGACCAGATTTGGAAATAGAGTGGTTGCAAAGTTGAGGTCACACTGGATTAGGGTAGGCCCTCAATCCAATGACTGATGTCGTTATAAAAACAGAAGAGGACACATAGAGACAGATACCCACACAGGGACAAGGCCATGTGATGACGGACGCAGAGGCTGGAGTGATGTATCTACAAGCCAAGGAATGCCAAGTGTTGCCTCCCAGAAGTTGGGAGACATGACAAAGGATCCTTTCCCAGAGGCTTTGTAGGGAGCACAGTGCTGCCCACCACACCTTGATTTCATATTTCTAGCCTCCAGAACTGAGAGAAAATAGATTTCTGTCGTTTTAAGCCATTGGGTTTATGGTTCTTTGTTTTGGCAGCCCCAGGTGCTAAAAAATAGAGTGGTGTAAGTTAGGAGACCAGAAGGAGGCCAGAGCACAGGGCTCAACACAGCTCCTCACAGACTCCACAGGCTTTAGGGTGAGGATATGGCACATTGGCAAAAACCGAATGCCACGTAGTGGGGCGTGACAAGGCAGCAACCTCAGTACGAGCTCTGGTGACCGAGGAAGCTTCTCAGAAGGGCGGGGATGGTGAGAGCTGGCAGAATTGGGTGTAGAAGAGGAAGGAGCAAAGGAGCCAAGGACCTCAGAGGCAGGTGTGCTGGAGGAATGAAGAAGGAAAGAAGGAGCTGGCTGTGGAGGCCGCGGGGAGCCATGATCGCACCAAAAGTTGGTGTGCATTCACTTGTGCAATTCTTACACTTGCAGGAGGTAAGCATTCCTCTTATCTCCATGTTACAAGGGAAACGGAAGAGAATTTGTTTACGTTCTCACAGCAAGTAAAGAGCAGAGCTGGCATTGGAGCCCAGGGCTCCACTATGGCCCTCTTCCCTGCTTCCTCAAGTCCAGCAGCCACACCCACAGGGACCCAGTGGAGACGGCTTCATGGAGAAGGCGGCCTTTGAACCATGCTGGGGAGGCTGTGCATGGGCAAAGTTTTGGGGAGAGCATTCTGGGCAGGGCAGTGTTTGGGAGAGGCTAGGACATGGCCAGTGAGGGGTGCACTTGGTCTCCCTATGGGTGCTGGGACCCCCAGATGTCCTGCTGAGGACTCTGTCCTGAAGTCCCCGGAAGGCTGGCTATGGGAGCAGAGGCACAATACGGTCGTGCTTTAGAAAGCTTTGTAGTAAGCGATTTGCCAGCTGGGCAGGGCAGGGTGCACAGGGCTGCTGCAATACTGGGGAAGAGAGAAGCCAAGGCAAAGGGGAGGTGTGGAACCTGACCAAGCTTGGGGGGTTTGGGGCACTTGGAGGCAGAGCTGCATGCTCCCCTCTCAGTTTTTCTAACAGCTCTACTGAGACATAATTCCAACACCAGACAATTCACCTTTTAAAATGTATAATTCAATGGCTTTTAGTATAGTCACAGAGCTGTGCAACCATCACCACAGTCAACTTTAGAACACTCTAATCATGTGGAAAAGAAAACCTGTACAGGCCACAAAAGGAAAAACAGAGATAAACTGGACTTCACAATTGAAAACCATTTGTGCATCCAAGGACAAACCAAGAGTGAAAAGAAACAAAAATCTATCAAGAGAGTGAAAAGATAGCTCACGACATGGAAGAAAATATTTACAGATCAGATACATATTAAGGATCTAGTATCCAGAATACACAGGAAATTCTTATAGTTCAACAATAAAAAGACAACTCAAATTAAAGATGGGCAAAGATCTAAATAGGCATTTCTCCAAAGATGTGCCAATGGCCAAGGAGCTTATGGAAAGGCACCAACATCACCAGTCATCAGGGAAATACCAACCAAAACCATCATGAGATCTCCCTTCATATCTGCTAGGATGGCAATCATAATAATAGTAATAATAATAAGAAGAAGAAGGAGGAGGAGGAGGAGGAGGAGGAAGAGGCGGAAGAAGGAGAAGAAGGGGGTAACACGAGGTGATGAGCATAACTAAGAACGCTCATGTATTGCTGGTAGGAATGTAAAATGGTGCAGCTGCTCTGGAAAATACTATGGCGGTTCCTCAAAAAGTCATTCACAGAATTACCAATGTGTCCCAGCAATTCCACTTCTAGGAATATACCCAAGAGAACTGAAAACATGTGTTCAAACAGAAACGTGTGCAGCAATATCCATAGCAGCATGATTCACAGTAGCAAAAGTGGAAATATCCAAGTGTCTCTCAGTGGATGAGCAGCTATACCAAATGTGGTCTATCCATGCAATGGAATATTATTCAACCATAAAAAGGAATAAAGCACTCATCCATGCTATGACGTGGATGAACCTTGAAAACATGATGCTGAGTGAAAGAAGCCAGACACAAAAGGTCATATATAGTAGGATTCCATTTATATGAAATGTCCGGAATTGGCAAATCCATAGAGACAGAAAGATTAGTGGTTGCCAGGGGCTGGGAGAGGCATGGGAGCGACAGCACAGGGTTTCCTTTGGGGGTGATGGCAATATTTTGCAACTGGATAGTGGTAATGTGCACAACATTGTGAATTCATGTAATGCCATCGAACGGTACACTTTAAAGTGATGAAAATGGGCCATTTTATGTTATGTCTATTTTAGCACAATAGTAATACCAGGAAGTTTATATCCTTCAGGTAGCCCCTAGCCCCTGGCATCCCAAGCCTTGGGTTCATTCCTGTGACCCACTTACTTTTTCAGCAGGATCTCTGAGGCGCCCTTGCTGAAGAGGCGGAACCCACCATCGGGCATGCGGATGACCGTGCTCATGGACTTGCGGACCGAGTTGAAGGTGTATACTTTGTAAAGCTTATCTTCCGGAATCTGCTCCCGCACAGGCTGGAAGTCCCGCTTCAGGTCCAGGACGAAGCCCAGCAGAGCACATTCCGTCTTGTTGCCCACTTGGCGCGGGAGGGCACCTTCCTTCTCTGGAGGCTGTGAAGTGAGGTGAAACAGCATGGCGCCAGGGGCCCAAGTCCACCCTCCTTACTACCCCTATGGGGCCCAGCCTGGCCATGGTCACCACGTCTTTAGGGTGTGGTGGCAGAGAGCCAAGGAGTGCCTCCAGTGTGGACTAGATGGGCAGGTTTCCCACCATTCACTGGGATTGGAAGGGGCGTTCAAACCCAGCAGCCAGGGCAGGAGCACTGGGACCAGGGACGAGGGAAGGGTGACCAGTACCCTAGAGACCATCGTAGCTCTGGTCAGAAGTTCTTAGGAGAGCACGGTAAGCCCCAGGCCCCTTCTCTCATCCCAGCCCTGCTCTTGGCTCACTAGTATTTTGGTGGTGTAGGCACTGTTGATGGAGATGGCGTGGACCAGGAGGTCGAGTATCTTGGGGGTCAGGGCGCTGGGGGCCGGAATCTCTTTGTAGTGGGTGTCCCCGAGGTAGGACTGGACCACGGTCATACGGTTGGTGGTGAGTGTGCCCGTCTTGTCCGAGCAGATGGCTGTGGCATTGCCCATCGTCTCACAGGCATCCAGGTGTCGGACCAGGTTGTTGTCCTTCATCATTTTCTGTAAAGGGGACAGACATCATGTATGACTCTGCTCTGCCCATCCATGTTTCTGTGTGGCACTAACGGACCAGGGCCAACAGCAGCACCCAAAGGCACAGATTGGAGTAGCTGCAGGTTGGTGGTCAAACCCGGGCAACAGGCCTGGAAGGCCTAAGTATTCTCATCGGACAGGTTGAGTGACCGACTCTGGGCAGCCACTCTACCCAGAGCTCACCTGGTGCCTCCCTGCTGCCCGGGGCCACTCCCCTGCCTGCAGTGACCTCTCAAGGCACACGCTAGCCCTGCAGCTCCCCCTACACCTCTGCCGTGCTTCACCCACTGTCTCTCAGTGGGACCCCTCCTGATCACACTCCCCCCTGCCCACACCTCTGCCAATGGAACCAGTTCCCTCAACTCCCTGGCCCCTCTGCGCCCCTTGCTCTCATCCTGCAGATGCCAGGTCTGTCCCACTGCCAGCCTGCTTTCTTGCTCGTGCCACTGTGCCCAGGAAGCCGGGCGGGTCCCAGCTTAGCCTCCCACTCTGTCCCTGAATGATGGGTCCCAAACTCTCTCCAGCCCTCACTGCATCCAAGATGTTTACAGGCTTTACACCCTAGATTTTGGGTTTGTATCCTGGTATCACAGATTCTTAGTCCTGCTACTGTGTTTCATATCATTACCTTGACAGAGTAAGCTAAGGAGATGGTGACAGCAAGAGGCAGGCCCTCTGGGACAGCCACAACCAGCACAGTGACACCGATGATGAAGAACTTCACGAAGTACTGCACATAGACCGGTGTGCACTCTGCCAGCCACAACCGACCATCCACGACGAAGGTCTCGATCACAAAGTAGAGGACCAGGATAATGACAGTGATGGCAGACATCACCAGCCCTGCCCAGCCACAGCAGAGGCGACAGAGGATGGGGGCAGGAATGGGGGTTGGCAGGGGCGAGAAAGGGAGAGAGCAAGAGGGAAGAGGTAAGGGACGCTGCAGCTGGTGCCAGCTTGAACTGAGCTGGGGGAGGTGCTCCCTGTCCCAGGCCTTACGGTGGGTTTAGAATCCATGCTTGCCAGAAGCGGGGCTGGTCAAGGCCCTGATGGCAATCACCCCCCTGGCCTGTCCCCTTCTCTCTGGTCCACACCACCTGCCACATCTCTTTCCCACTTGCTCTCCACCACCTGGCCTCATGTCCAGGAAACCTGGTATCCTCCTTGCCCGACGGGGGCCCTGGGCTGCCCCTCTGCAGCCCTCACCTGCTTTCCCAATCTGCACAGCCAGTTTGGTGAGCTTGCCCTGCAGGACCGACTTCTCCTTCTTGGGCACGTTGGCTTTCTTCTTCTCCCGCTCCTCCATCTCCCCGCCCTCTGCGCTCTTCAGTGGCTGCATTTCCATGGCAACTGCCCCATCCTGCTTCTTAGCTGCACATAGAGGAACCCGCAGCCAAGGTTAGGGCCTGGCTGCTGGGGGGACAGCTACAAGGGCTTTCACGGGAAAAGACATGCCACATCATACAAAAGGACATGGGGTTCAGGGAGTTTCTCTGATTTCTGAGTGCGACACTGCCTGGGGCTTTCTCCTCTTCCTCCTCTGTCCTTGGCAGCCCACGCCCTCCTGAGTGGGATGGAGATGGTTCTCTCGAGGCTTCACAGGGGAAGGGAGGACAGACACAAGCACAAGTAACTTGGGCACAGAGACAGGGTGGTCAGTGCTGTAACGCCCCAAGTCCAACACCTGAGAGCAGAGGCCTGGGGCCCAAGGAACATTCCAGAACCCTGAGCTGACTGACCCATTGGCCCGCCGGTGTCCAAGCCACCTCCCCACTCCCCTGAGAGAGGCCCAGGAGCCCCTGCACTCTCCTCTGCTGCTCCCTGCTCAGGCGGTCTCTTTTCCTGCCAGCCCCTCGACTTCCATCAAGGACCCAGATCGCCACGAGTGTCCTCCTCAGCCTGCTCCCTGGTTGCTGGAGGCGGTTGCCTAGATGGGCTGCTCTGGGCGGGACTCGCACCTCTCTCTCTTCATCGAACCACTCTCCTCCAGCCATCTTTCCGCCTCCTCTCTAGAACAGGCAGCCCCCTCATGACTTCCAGTGGCCCTGCGATCCTCATGCTGCCCCTGATGTGGTGGTGGTGGTGGTGGTGGTGGTGTGTCCCATACCCTGCTTCTGTCACCTCTGTCACCTCACACATGCTGTGGCCTCAGGGTCTCCATCTGTACTGCCTCAGGTGATCCCCATGCATCCCTTACAGGAGGGGACACCCAACCTTGCCACTCATCTTTCTGCCTCACTGCTCTTGTCCCTCCCCGTGGGGCTCTTGGTGTTCCTGGCATCACCTCTGCACATCCCCTGCCACTTCACTGTGTCCGCTGCTCCGTCTGGCTTCCAGTCTTCCCAGCCATCCCTTCTCCTTTGGCTGCCTGAGACCACTCATCGATGGCTTCTCCTTCCCAAGGGCCTCAGGCCAGAGCCCACGGCCTCAGCAACACTCAAGGCCCCAGCTAGCTGGGCCACTATAGCCCTGTGCCCCACTGACTGACATGACTCATTCTCTGCCCCAGCCCGGGACCCTAGCCATCAGGCTGTCACTCTGTCACAAATGCCCTCCCAAACCCAGCTATGCTCTGAATTCTCGTTTGCTTCTCTGACCCTGTCTTGGTCCCTAGGTCCTACGCTGCACGTGAGGCCTGCACCTGGGTCCATCTGTCTGGCCTATATCTTTTCTGAGGGCTGGGACAGTGCTTTGTCCACCTTTGGATCCCCAGTGCTTACGAATGGCCGCTGATAGGCCTTCATGCCGGCCACACAGGCTCGGCTCTCACCAGGCATTCAAGCTGAGAGGAGAGTAGGCCTCGGCCCTTGGATGTCTGCCCAAGAGAAAGGCAGCTGAGCGGGGAAACCCACAGGCCTGATTAGGCCATGGACAAGTCACAGAGGTGATCTTTGCACACTCCTGGCAGGGTCTGCAGAGGGGCCACCCTGCCCCTCTGACCTGGTCTCTACCTACGTGCTGCTTCTGCGAGTGAAGTGGGTAGCCCCCGACCCTGAGCTGTGCCCTCCGCCTACCACCCCATCCTGAGTGCAGGGCAGGCATTACCTTTGGTCTGGCTACTCTCCATCACTCCATCTTGCTGCTTGCCTACAATGGAAAAGGAACGACAGACACAAAGACTTGAGAACATCCACGTGGCCCTGGCACATGCACACACACACAGGACAGCAGGGCACAGACAGTCCAGTGGCAAGCACAGCTGAAAGGCAGGAGAGAGGGGAGGAGGGCTCTTCAGGCTCACGCTGTCCTCTCCAGGCCCACACTGATGCCCTGTTGCCACCTGCCAGCATGTGGCTTGTGGTTGCCATGAGCATGTCGGCCTCCTGAGTGAGACCCCTAGCCAGGGCTCCCCGTTGGGCTTTGACACCAGCCCTCCGGTGAACTCCCTAAGCCAGCCCTTGATGGATCCTGGTCATGTGTGGCTGACAGTAGGTTTCCGAAAAGGCCATCGCCATGGGGAATGAGGGCTGCCAGGTATCCTGTCCCAGCTCTGCCACTTTGAGCAGAGCCCCCCAGTCAGGACATGCGTTCCTCCCAGGACCAGCGCAAGGAGTTCAGCTAGATGGTTCCTAACCCGTGCTGGCCTAGAGCTCAGCTTTCTCTGCACCTTGGGTTGCAGTGAGCTCTATGTGTACTTTTTAAAAAAAGATTTTATTTATTTACTTTTAGAGAGGGGAAGAGAGGGAGAAAGAGAGCGAAACATCAATGTGTGGTTGCCTCTTGCCTGCCCCCTGCTGGGGACCTGCCCCGCAACCCAGGCATGTGCCCTACACTGGGAATCAAACCGGCGACCCTTTAGTTTGCAGGCCTGTGCTCAATCCACTGAGCCACACCAGCCAGGGCTCTATGCGTACTTTTGAGGGACAAAGGAGACTCTAGGAATTTGCTTGGCTCAGGGCACTGGACTGGGTGCTGAGCACCTATCACTGCAGGGAGCAGCAGGGGCATGGGATAGGCTGGGCCCCAGGTGGACTTAGGTAGGGGGTTCAGGGGACGGGTACACCTGAGGACAAGGACCCAGCTAGCCTCCTCCATAGTCCCTGCAGCCAACAACTGTTACACAAATGCAGGAGCTCCCAGAACGTGCTCTGCAATCACAAAGCCTGCACCTGGGTGTCACGGCCTGGCCAGTGACAGCCTTCCCAAGGCCAAGGAAAGCAGTGCTGGTCACACCTCAGGTCTCCAGAGGCTGCAACTCTGGAAGGGCCCGGAGACCTGACAGGCAAGGGGACTGCGGCAGGGAGCCTGGTGCTGTGTTTGGGGCCCGGCTCTGTACACCAGTTCCTCCTGGAGGCCACATGTGAGCTGGCAGGATCCAGAGATGACCCGATGTGGGGCAGGAGGGGCTTATGGGATGACCTGTCGGTCACCACCAGATAGCTCATGTCACCAGGGATCAAGGAACACAGGGTGCCAGGTGGATCTCAGGCAGTAGGGTCTGGTGTGAAGAAGCAAGAGACCCCTTATGGGCCAGGGTGGAGTGCGGGTGGATCCTCTCTGCCTAGAACTCTTGAGGAGGTACGGGGGTTCAAAGGTAAAGAAGACTTCTAGGGGGAGGGGAGACACCTGTAGACACATGGCAACAATGCAGTGCAATGAGGGGGTGTTGCTGAAAGCCCTGGAGGTATGGAGGCCCAGAGGAAGAACAGACCCAGAGGACCCAGGCTGCAGACCAGGCCCGGGGAGGCCGGTGGAGGAGGGAGGGAGGTTTGGGATGAGCACTACAGGAAGAGGAATATTGTGCCCAGCCTGAAGAGGGACAGGAGCTGAAGGATGGGAGGAAGAGGGGAAGGAGGGCACCCCAAGGAGAGGGGTAGCTAGGGATCAAGACCAAAAGGTAAGCCACAGGTGGGAGGGGACAGCAGGTGGGTAGGCGGTGTTGGGCAGATAGCCCAGGTCAGGTTGCAGCAAGGGCCAGAGAGAAACACTGGGAGTGGCCACCTTCCTATCTCCACAGTGGCCCGTCCTTGGGCTAAAACCTCAGTGAGGGCTCATGGATAGTGCTGCCCCCTCCCCTGAACCTGGTCAGCTCTCTTCCCCGTCCAGGGTCCCCTCGGGGCTTCCCTCCTCCAGGAAGCAGGCTGGCGGAGATATCCCCTCTGACTCCTAAGTAGCCCAGCTAGGGTGCTGGAGAAGGGCAAGAGGGGAGGGTCCTGGGGGAGGGAATGGAGGGGTTTGTCAAGGTCAAAGTGGAGGGGCCTAGGAAGGAACGTGGAAAAGGGTGCCCTGCCAACTAGCTACCAGGGTTTGTTGAAGGACCACCAGGCAAAGTGAGCTGGGCTTCCCTGGACAGAGGCATGGGGACTCCAGCCCAGCCCAGCCCAGATGAAGCCCAGGACCTGCCTACCTACCTGCTTGCCTGCTTATGGAGCCCAGGGCACTCACTGTGGAGAAACACTGGGCTGAGCCTTGCAGGGCGAGGGGGCTGGGTGGGGCAAAGGTGAAAGAAGGTCCACCAGTGGCTGTGAGGGGTGTGTCTGGCCAGCCGGAAGTTGGAAGGTGCCAGGAGACAGGGCCCATGGTAGCTTCTAGGCAACAGCAGTTCACCCACCTCCTCCCTTGCCTCCTCCAGGAGTAGAGTGGTCAAGGGTTGGGGACACTAGCATACCATTCTTTATGCTGACCTGTCCCTGTGTTGCTGGGGCTGGGCAGACTAATCCCGCCTGCTCTTCAGACCCAGTGGTCTTGACTAACTGAGATAGGTCCAGTGACTGGCACCTTTCTGTCCCCTACCCAGCTCAGCAGCCCCAGTGTCTCACTGACTCTGGGGCCCAGGCTGCAGGCTTCTAGCACATATTCGCCTTGTGAGTATGTAGTTTGTTTATACTTCTAGTGGGCCCTGGTAGATTCTCTCAGAGGGGAGGCACACATCTAGAAAACTCTGCTCTCCGCCTGGTTTGACTACAGGACCAAGAGACCCAGGCCAGAGCACATTGAGCCATGATGCAGGCACAGACCTGCATCGTAGAAGAGAATGGGGTCTGAGCTGAGGGACCAGGACAGGACGGTGGATGCTGAGGACAGTTCTGTAGCTTTGTAAGTCTTGTTGTGAGGGCTGGAGGGGACACTGGCCATGTCTGGGGCTCAGAGCAGAGGCAAGAGGAGGCAGCAGGAAGGCCAGGGCGGCTATAGAGCTGGGTTCTCTGAAGACATTTGTTCCTGGACTCTGCTTTCCCTTGGGGTGAGGATCCCTGCCCATTCCTGCTTCCTCTGGCCCTGGACATCCTTTAGGGGTCCCTTCTGCTTGGGAGTCCTCCATGTTTGGCTGCATGATCTGCATTTGCTGACTGCCGCACTGGCCTGGGATCCTAACACTTTACCATGGTGGTTGAGCACCTCTGAGGGTATGTGGCATTCTCCCAAGCCCTTGTCATTCTGACCCCATTCCTACCAAAGCAGGGCACTCGCCCAACCCTGGCACATAAATCTCAAAGCCTTTGGGGAATAGCCATCTGAGGGCAGCTGCCCTTACACAGAATTGGAGGAGAGGACTCCTGACCTGCTGGCTCTGGGGCAAAGGCCCCAGAAAAGGGGTCTCCGAAAGGAATCAGAAGAGAGGGTATGGCCTCCCACCCGCTCTGGGCCATCTCTCTCACAGTGAGAGTCAGAGTTGGAGCCAGGAACTGGGCCAGCAAGCGACTGCCAGCAGGCAGGCAAAGAGGAAAGAGCAAGCTGAGCAGAAGAGGGGCTAGCCTCTCATCAGCGCTGGGAACTGGAGGTCTGTGTGGCTTTACCTTTCTTATCCTTCTTCTCCTCCTCCTCTCCGCCAGCTCCAAGCAAAGTAAAGATGATGCCTGTCTGGGAGTTCACACCCACAGCTGTCACCACCATTCTTCCAGAGCCTTCCATGACATGAGTGCCTGGCACAGCCAACAGAGAGAGAGATGGAGGCAGACATTAGCGCCACCAGGTGGGAGGCATGCTCAGCACCTACAGGTTCAGTCCCAGGAATCCCAGAAGCAGGGACTCAGCGTCTGGAGGTCCCTGGAAGCGGTATTGACCCTAAGCCTAGACCAAAGCCTCACGCTTGGCTTGAAGCAGCTACTTTCCCAGAGGCACGGGGTAAACCATTCACAAGGCCCAGACTCTCTGCCCTGTTGTACACTGCAACTGCCACCAAGATAAACACTGGGCTGAGACAGAACCTTCTGGAAAGGGAACACTATCCTCACCGGCTCTTCTTGAGGGTCTGGATTGGAGCATGGCACTGTGTTGACCCAGAGCCAGCTCCCGCCTCTAAGGGCTTCTTCAGGACATCAGGGGTCTCTGGGGTTGGAGAGGCCCATGTCTTTTTCTGAGGCTGGAGCGCCACCGCCATGCCTCCCACAGGCTGCTCTGGCCTTGAGGGGGGTGAAGTGTTCAGACTCCCTAACCAGAAGGGATACTGGGGGAGGGCTGGTTGAGGGGGTTGTTGGGCCAAATGCCTTCCAAGGCTCCCCAGTGCTGGGCTGCTCCAAGGGGTGGCAGCCAGCCAATTCCCAGCTTCCCCAAGGGCTGGGCCAGGGCCCTGAGGCCTCACCTGAGAGCAGCATGGGGTCTTTGTCGGCTGATTTGCGCACGTGGTCTGATTCTCCTGTCAGGGAGCTCTCATCGATTTTGAGGTCGTTGCCCTGGATGAGCACGCCATCGGCAGGCAGCAGGTCTCCTAAGGCCGGCCAGGCAACCAGAACCACGGACTATGGGTCCAGGCGGCCTTTCTCCCTGCTGCCTCCTGCCTCACCCCAGGGGAGGTCCCATCGGGGACAGGGCCCTCTTCCTTCAGCCTCCTCCTTTCTGGGGAGACACACCAACCCCTAGCCCTGTGGTCCAGCTCCCAGAGGGGAGGGGCAACAGGGATGTCCTGCAGTGTTGGGGAAGGCCTTGACAGGCCGCGGGTATAGCCCGTCTCCTGGGACCTCCTGTGCCTGAGCCCCACCTCCAACGTCCCACAGGTGAGGGCACACATGCTCCTGGGGAGAAGGGCTGCACTGAGTGGGTGGGTGGGCTCTCCTCTGGCCCACACTGGCCCCGAAATGGGAGCTGAACTTCCTTTGCAGAGTGGGTGATGATGGTCACACTCACCATACTTGACCTGGGCAATGTCCCCCACCACCAGTGCGGCCACGGGGACCTGGAGGAGCTGCCCGTTCCGGATGACTGTGAACTTCTGTTCCTGCTCTATACGGCTCTGCAGGCCTCGGAACTGCTTCTCCTTGCTCCAGTCGTTGAAGGCCGTGACCAGCACCACACAGATGACAGACAGCAAGATGGCTGCCCCCTCTATCCAACCGGCCTCGGCCTCGCCTTCATCTTCTGTCCCAGCTGACACATTCCCGCACACTGTGCCCGAGGACAGAGGGGAGTACAGAGGTGGCAGAGGAGTCACTCCAGCCGGCTCCTTCCTGACGCTGGAGTGGGGACATCCTGTGACCCTCCCTCATTTCAGGTTCCGTTCCTCCCCTCCTGCCAGCCCAGCTCTGCTGCTGCCCTTGTCCTGCCCCTTCCTGCCAGGTCTCCCTCACCAGCCCTCCGGGCCCTGCCCTTCACCTTCGCTCTCCTCGCCGGGTGGTGCGTAGAACGAGAGGCCCAGGGAGACGATGGCAGCCACCTCCAGGATGATGAGGGTTACGTCCTGTAGGGCCTCCCACACCAGCTGCAGAAAGGTCTTGGGCTGCTTGGGAGGGATGAAGTTCTGCCCATAGATCTGCCTGCGTTTCTCCAAGTCACTGGCATTGTCAGCCAGGCCTGTAATGGAGAGCAGAGGCACAGACCTGATGGGAAAGGCAGCCCTGCCCCATGTGGCCCTGTTCCTTCTTCCCCTTCTCCTGCGCAATTCTGTCTCTCCTACACTGAAAGCGCCAGTAGATAGAAACTGCACTGGCCTGGCAAATTCTGGGGGCATGTGTGCGGGAGGGCCTACGTGGCCCCTCCAGCAGCCTGGAGAGCCGGGGCATGTAACCACTAGATAACTCGGAGCTCCTAGCATGAGGAAGGACTGGACTATCCTCCCGATACCCCTGGGGAGGTCTAGGGACTACAGCAGGTCCCTCCAAAGGGATCTTGTCAGTCTTGCTCATGCCATTGAGCAAGGGCCTGGCACCCATGGTGCCCGGGAGGTGAACAGAGACTACTTCCAGCCCTCTGCCTTCAGAGAATGTCTCACGGCCTGCCCTCTGGAGACAGTCACCTCCTTCCTAATGCCTTTTTCAGACCCCACTGCAGTGCTGCTCTCCATCCCTGAGCTGGGGGTCACAACGAAGAACAGGACGGGACGTGAGCTCCTTGCCCTGCTCCTAGGCCCCCTTGCAGCTGCATGCTCAGCAGCTACTGAAGGCCTTTAAGGCTAATGGGATTGCCAGTGGTTCACGCTCATGCCACCGTGTCTTCAGGCCATCAGGCAGAGGACAAGGAGGGTGAAGGCTGTGGAAACCAGTCCCAGTGGGGAAGCCCCTGTGGCCTGAGCAGATGAGGCACTGTGATGTGGGGCTGAGAGGCTGAGAGGCTGAGAGGGGCCTTACTGATAGTTCTAGAGCCCTGGGAGGCCCTCCACATCCTGAACAAGCTGCTGTGTGAGGGCTGGGAGAGGGGGTCGGTCTGGGCAAGGCAAGGGCTAAGAATGGCTACAAAGGGGCTAGCCTGGCATTTGGAAGATGCACCCTTACTTCTCTTCCTGGGACAACCCACTTCTTACCCAGGCCTGTGCCCAGGCCTCTGAGTCTCTGCCACTAGGGCACGAGCCTCCTCAGGCCCATGCCTGAAAGTACCAAAGGCTGTGTGGAACGCGTCTGGGCTACTGCCTCCCAAGGCTGGACACTGACTTGGCCACCTTCTCCAGAGGCAGGCAGATGGGATGATGCAGTCCCCTGGCGCCACCCTCAGCCCTCAGGATTTGGCTTCCTTCCAGGCTCAACTGTCCACGGTGCTTCCCGTGCCCAGTGCTGCCCTTGTCCCCCAGGCTGTCCCTCTTCCCCCAGTGCCCAGCCTCACACTGACCCCTGGTGGGCTGATGGAGACTTGCAGTTCCCAGCCCTGAGCAGCTGCCACTCCCAGGGTCTCTTTCAGGGACAGGGGCCTACGAGAAGTGTCGGGTCCCAGCCCACGGGGTGCTCCCAGCCAGCTTGGGAAGGCATACAAGACCAGGCCCCAAAGGACTTGAGAACAAGAAAGCGCTAAGTGTGGTGCTGAAGGAGTCGGGAGGAAGGAGGGTTGGGTGTGCACTGCACAGGGAAAGAAGGCTTCTGGGGAGGAGCGTGGTGGGGCCCCTTGGAGGTGGAGGGACTGATAAGAGCTAAAGCCCACAGCCGGCACAGAGTTGGCACATCTCCTGAGCTAGGCAATGACCACATGCTCTTCTCCCCACCCAGCAGAGCCGCAGCTGTCCCTGCCCTTCTCTCCCCTGGCCTCATTGTGCTGGGCCAGCTGTGGCTCAAGTTTCTGGAGTCTGCAGCTTCCCACTTGGGTACTTAGAAGAAGCTCAGGACCACAGCTCCTAAGGGCCAGGGACCCAGCTGAGAGCCTGTGCCCTACTCCTGACTGGGGCCTGTGTCCTTGAGCTACAGGAGATATACAAGGTGTGGTCAGGACTGGGAAGCATTTGAACTGAATCCTGGATCTCCCAGACACCCAGGGCCTCCCCTCCCCCTGCCCTGGGAAAGGACACTGATCTGGAGCCCATGAGAGGCACCCGCCCCACCCCAAGCTTATGTTTTATGGCACCACATGAATCTGTATCCTGCCTGCCCTGCCCCACATACCCAGCTTGTCCCCATGGGAAGCGGGGCCCTCAGGGGGCCTCATCCCCAGGAACTCCTTCCCTCCCTTCCTCCTTCCCTCCTCCCTCCCTCCTTCCCTCCCTCCCTCCTTCCCTCCTTCAGCCTGTCCCTTGGCCTTGGTTTGCCCTTGATGCTGCAGCAGTGCTTCCCTCTCTCTTGCCCTAGACCAGCTGGAGGCCTTGACCTTTCTGTAGGCTCAGGGGTCCTGATATCCTCCACCACTGAAGCACTCACAGGGTGGGGAGGCCGCTGCAGCCCCTCTGGTTCCAAGCATGCCCTGGCCTAGCAAGCCCCCAAGGGCAGCCCACGTCCAGGGTGTGGGGCCAGGGGCCGACGGTTGGCATAGACACAGATGGGCGTCCTGCCCAGAGCAGAGGCCAGATGCCATTGGAATTGGATTAAGACCACATCGTGTGGCTCCAGGCTAATCTGCCCCCTCCTTTCCATGGCTGCTGGTGGAGGTCAGATAGAGGAAGGGCTGGGACCCAGGTCCCTCAAGCAGGCCCACCACCCAGCTTGGCCTAAGATCTGGGTTCCTTGGCTCCTGGAGTCCTCCTGCATTGCTGAAAGTCTCCATCTCTAATACACCGTGCACCTCCCTACCCTCCCCAAAGCGCCACTGTGCCAGCACCCCCAGTCTGCCCACCAGTCTGCCCCAGGGGTCGGTGCAGTGCCTGGGGCACAGCTAAACTGACCCCTCCCACAAGCTTAGCCTACTGCGTCTAAGCAGGAGAGGGTAAGGGGTCTGGGAGAGAACTCTGGGGCTAAGTCAGCGGGTGTGTGAGGATCCCACCCTTGCTGGAGGGCCAGAGTCAACCGCTCTTGGTGCCCAGACCTTGAGGGCTCCTAGGGTCAGAGAGGTGAGGGGTGGTCCCCATACCACTCATCCTTTGGGGTGCAGACCAGGCCTGGCTGGTTCCTCCTGCTGGGGCTGGGCCACCAACCTGGGCACCTGTGCTTCTCCATGCCAGCCCCTCCACAGGCACCGGGTGTGCTCCAGAGCTGCCGTGGCAGAATCAGGCAGGTTCCCAGGGGCCTTGACATTTTAAATATTTAACAAAGCCTGACAGGCAGAGGAAAGAGCTGCCAGCTGAAGCCCATCTGCTTCCTTTTATCTGGGGGAGGCCAGAGCTCTTGTGGCTAAATGGCCCCAGATCATGAGGGAGGGCAAGGAGGAGGGAAGGAGAAAGATCCTCTGGCACTGAGCCAAACCATCCGCCCCCCCCCCCCGCCCCCTCCCACCCCATGACACACTGTATCAGGCCGGGCCCCTTTACAGTGCAAACCAAGAGAGACCCAGGAAGTCCAGGGAAGGCCACCCACCTTGGAATTCTTGACCTGGTCAGGTGGGCACACTTTCACCTGGCCCTTGGACCCACTTACTCCCAGGTGGGCCATCTCCACCCCCTGTTCCAGCCCATGAGCCACCTGCAGACAGATGGGACCAGGGAGCAGGAGACAAGGGCGATGGCCAGGGCCCCGGGTAGATGAAGATGTGATAGCTGAGAGCAGAGCTGACGAGATCGATCAGCGCTGGCCCAGAATGGGCCTGGCACTGGGCTGGGAGAGCCCCAGCAGTCCTGCCGGGGAGGTGCCAGCTGGGACAGAGAACGCTCCAGCTCCCAGAATCTGGAGCCAAGCCGGGCTCCTGGTGGTCCCGGCTTCGCCGCAGACCCAGCAGGCAGGACTGGGGAAGACTGGTACAGAGCAGGGCAGGGCATTGCCTCCAGATCAGGGCGAAAGCACCACAGGGCACAGGCGGGGAACCAAGATGGCAGTCAGGCCTCCACTCCTAGAACCTTCTAAAGGACACTGCCCAGGCTCCGCAGAGGCTCCCTGCAGCAGATTTGCTCATATCTACACCGCCTGAGGCTTGCACCTCTTTGGGACAGACTGCCACCAGTGCCACCTCCACTCGGCACTCTGGGTACTGCCCCCTCAGGCCCCACTGTCCCGAAGCCATTGCCTCCTTTGCCAGGGAGAGGCCCCCTGCAACCCAAGTCCTCAGAGGGCCCACACTCTACACTCTTTCCTCTCTAAGTCCTGCTTAACTGGACACAGGGCTGAGTCCACGGGGCACCCCAAACACGCAGAAAGGGGCCATACGGCCTGCGTACACTGTCATGGTGCCGTTTCCTCCCTTCCCCTTTACTTTCACTCTATCTCTAGTATTCCAAAGAAGAGACAAGTGCAGGGAGCTGCTGATTACGAAGGTGCAGGCACAGGGGTCTGGCCAAAGCTCCCGGAAGATTGCGGGTTGCCCGGAGGGTGACGCTCTCGCCCCATGCAGTCTCCTGCTCAGGGGGGCAATGGCTGCCCGGGGAGCCATGGTCAGGGCGAGAGTGCCTCTGGGAAGCTGCTGCAGTGGCACCGCCCTGCCCTTGCCTGGGCCTGCCTGGGGCAGGAAACACCTTCGGGATGCCTCTAGGTGGCCAGAAGGCGTGTTGGATGGCATATCGCCCAGAGTCCCCTGAGAACACGTGGCTGTGCTGGGTCTCTGCTGGCAGACTTACCCTCTGTGGGCGAGGTCTTCAGCCTCCTGCAGAGCCCGCTGACATCCCCATAGGCTTCTTGGACCTTCTGCAGTGCTTCGGCCCCTCGGAGCTCCATGAGGGAGCGCAGTTCAGCCAGTGTGCACCCAAAGCCGCCTGCATGGGGGGCCTCCCGCTGCTGCTGGGACTTGGGGTGGAACTCGATGGAACTGTTGGCCATGTCGCCCATCCTGCCTGTTGCACTGGGAGGAGAGGATGCTGGGCCTTCTCACAGGTGCAGCCTCAGGGGCAGGTGACCACCTGAGGTCCCAGTGCCTGGGGGAGGTGCAGCGGAGCTGGTGGCAGCAAGGAAGTGGCCAAGTGTGGACACCTGGGAAGATGGAGGTGAGAAGAAGCCAGAGGTACGATTGAGACAAAACCAAGGCCCATTCTTCTAGACCATTCTCTGCAAGTCTGCAAGTCTGAGTCGAAGTCATGACTCACTAAGTGCAAAATTCATCCCCCAGGCTCGGCCTGTGGCCCTCATGCCCTGCCAGGCTCACCTGCCAGACCACCCCTTAGCCCTGCCCACCATGAGCACCCAAGCTGGGAGGGCAGGACTGATTAGTGACGGCCTTGTCCTGGCATGGGTGGGTTAGCTGTGCCATGGTTCTCCCACCGCTGTGCCCGTCCTCCAGCAAATCGTCCAATTCATCGTGCTACGGCTCTTGCCTGATTAAGACTCGCCCTGTGAGGCCTGCATGCTATAAATCCTGGGCGGCGAGGTGGTCTTCTAGCACAGCCTCTGTTGCTCACAGCTCACAGTTTCAGGCCTGGTGATTCACAGGGGTCCAGGGGGCAGGCCAAGCCATGGACAGGGCCAGCTGGGTGCCAGGTCAAGGTGTCTCTGCTGCCCTGCGGGTACCTGGGAAGTGGAGGCAAAGAAGGGAGGAGGCCCAGAGGAAGCAGGAAGGGGGAGAGAGAAAGTGGGGGAAAGGGAGGGAAGGTGGAGAAGAGAGGGGGAAGGAGGGAGAGAGGGAAGGGGGAAGGAGGAGAAAGAGGGAAGGAGGAGATAAAGGGAGTGAAAGAGGAGGGGTGGAGGAGAGGGCACACAGGAGAAATTGGAAAGCAGCCACAGGTCACTGGCCACTTGTCCATCATCCTGCCCCACGGCACAGTGCCACCTACTCCCCACCCACAGCGTGCGCTGAAAGCAGCCAGCTGACTACTGGGCCACACAACCTTTGCTCCTCTGCAGAGTATCTTGAAGTTGTCATCCCTCTTGCTGTCCCCATACTGCACTGCCACTGCCCACACCTGCCCAAGGAACTACTGGAGCCTGAGTTGCCTCATCCTCAGCCTTCACGGGGTCTGGCGGTTTGGACCATGAGGGCTTGCTGAGCCTGCTGGGCCTACGTGTCCCAGGCCCCTGGCTTCTCCTGCTGGTCTTTCCCTACTTCTCCTTCCCAGCCTGCAGCCTGCCTGCGCATGAGTGGAAGCATCCCCCAAAGCCATGTGCTAAGCTCCTAGGGCTGAAGTAGTCTCAGTGCACATGGCCTTGGCCTTCACACCAGCAAAGAGGCCTCCTGGCAACGTGGCTTAGTTGGGCCTGATCCCTCATCTCTGAGGACACTCTGGGCTCAGGATAATCCTCTTGGAGGCAGAACTTGGCCACCAATCCAGTTTTCTGATCTAGAACCGCCCATGAAAACATAATAACCCAGAGCCCTATGGTTTGCTGCTCTCAAGAGAGCCCCCACGTGTCACTCAGAGCTGAGTGAATGCTGGGAGTAGAAATGGACCACAGCCCTCTGGGGCTGGGAACATGGTGGCGGCCTCAGTTCCTCAGGATGCTGGCCCCACCTGTCAAGGAAAGACATGTGTACCTGGGGCAGTCCTTGCTGACTAGGTCTGGGAAGCAGAGAGGTGCCTCAGAAAATGGCTATCCATGTTTTGAAAGTTTGGGCACCTCAGCGTTAACTCCCTAGACACCCTCCACAGAGAGCTGCCTTCATTACGGGAAGATGTGGGAACCAAGTGGCAGACCCGCAAATTTGCCGTCCTCTCCCACAGCCGTGAAAACTCCCCATTGCCCATCCTTTCAGTTTGCCTTCTGACAAATCTTTACTGAGCATCTACTACATGCCTGTGCCGGGGACAGAGTGGTGGACAGGCCAACAGAGGGGTGAACAGGGCCGAATGCATTCGCACACTCTCCATCGGGCTGGGAGATGGCTATGTAGCAGGCCCTGCTGGTGAGAAACCGGCATCGGAGTGATGGGGGCGCAATTTAATTTGGGGACAGAGGTCAGGGAAGGCCTCTCGGAAGGGGCACATTTAAGAACAGACCAGAACAACGTGCGGAGTAAGCCATTCCTTTGGAGCGAAGAGTGTTCTGACACCAGGAATAAGGCAGATAATGGGACATGTCAGTGGGGGAGGGGCTACAGATCCCTTGGAACCACGAGTAATGTCGGCCACCACCTGGGTGAGGACAGATCGAGGGGGCAGAAGCTGGGAGAAGGGGAGGGGGCTTCGGTCAGTCATTCTGCCTGACGGGGTGAGGGCAAGAGGCAATGCGGATGAAGCCTGAGCTCAGGGATCCGTGGGGCAGCAGAGTGGAATAGGAGACAAGTTGGACTCCTTTTGGGGTGCTGTGTGAATGCACCCCACCCACTCAGGTGGGGCACAGGAGGAGCCACTCTGCCATTCACCAGGGCAGGAAACCAAGGCTTGGCCATTTGAGGTGGCAGGGCCGTGAGGGCACCCAGGTCTCTTGCCTCTGACCACAGGCCTCAGCGGGTCATGGAACCTCTGGAGACAGCGATGGATGCTTTTGACTGTCACCTGCACTCCTTGGTCTTCTCCAGATAGCTTCACCTAGCATCTCCACCTCTGCCTTTGTCCCTGCCAACTTCCTTCCCCCATTCAGGACCTTTGCTTAGGCTGCTGGTTACGGGAGGGGAGGGGCAGGGTCTGATTCATCTATGCAGACACTGGCTTCAGCCAGCATCGGGCCCACAGACTCCCTTGTGAGTCGGCTTCCTTGCTCAGCTATCTCCCAGGCCCCAGGCAGGCAGGCTTGCTGGGAGACGACCAAGCAATTGGTCCTCTGAGTGCCGGGGCCAGGTGGCAGGGGCATCCAGCATAAACGTGAGTCAATTGTCCCTGAGCAGAGAGTCCCCAGGCCATGCCAGCCCTGGCAGTACTGGCCGAAGAGAGCGGCGGGCGCTCACCCCAGGCTCTGATGCCCTTGGCAGGCAGGCCACTGGCCTGCATTCTGAGACCTTTCACGTGTAGCCAGGGCACCAGGGGTCAGCTGTATACCTGTGTGACCCCCACCGAGACACCTAGGGACTCCATAGTGGCTCTTTCTAAAACGGAAACAGATGGATGAGTTTGTTCCTCTGGAACCGCTTATCTTTTCAGCCTCTACACCCATTTGGTTAAGACTTGGTTGGGAGGTGCCAGCTCCTGCTACCAGGGCACTGGTGCATTCCGGGACTGACAGAGTGAATGATGCATAGTTAGGTGGGCTCATCGCAGTGGCCTGACAGAAATGTCCATTCCTTGGAGCAGGTAGCCTGCAGGCCTGTGTCCCTGCCCTCCACCCCTCCAGGGTTCATCCAAGGCCAGCTCTGTCCTCCCTCTCGAGCTCCCTGCCCCTGCCCCCCAGTGTGGCCCTGCCCTCAATTAAGCAATAGCTGCCCAGGCAGAGCCACACTAGGTCCTTGAGCTGCTCCTAACTGGTGAGCTGTCATTGCTGTGTCCGACTGGGCCCTCGGTGACTCATGATAAGGGGACTAGGTGGGGAGGTAAGGCCTCACCTTCTGCTAGGGCATAATGCATTTTTGCCCCTCGTTATGGCCTCTTGGCTGGCCCTGCGTCCCTCAGCACTTCAGTATCTCCTGGCACCCTGCCTCTACCCGTGGCCTGCTCCTTCTTCCTCATCCCCCACCAACCAAATCCTATGTCCCATCTACCGCCTAATAGGCCTCCTTCCAGTTAGGTGGCTTGTTATCACCCTGCTCTGAACGTTCCCTGGTTCGGGCATTGTCACTCTCTCTGCCTCCAAGCTGCAATGGCCTCCAGAAAACCACATACCCTGTTTCAATCTCCTCACCTCCTGTTAAGCAAAAGGCCATATTCCTTCAAAGGACCTTCCAGCTCCTCTCTTGCTCTGGCCTGTTCAACCACACCCCATGCTGGTCTGCCCACAGCGCTGCTCGCCCTGCCACAACAAACAGCTTTGCCAGCTCTGAGCACTCCCCATGTGCCCTGCCCTGCACACCTTCTGTTCCATCTTCACCTGATGGCCTCCATTGAATTTGAGGGGCAATTCAAGTGGAACGTGCTCCGGAAAGTATCTGCCAAAACTGATTGCTGCTGAATCTAGAATTCCATGACTGTTTCGATTTTGCTCTGCTTGGCATTGCAGCAACCTGTGAGCACGTCTTTCCTGCTCTTGGGGTTGTAAGCTCTTTGAGACATGTGGTTGTTGAGTTGGTGGGAAGTCCACTGTGTGATCAGCCCTGGGGGAGGACGGAAGCCTGGAGAAGTGAGCGAGTTGGGGCCTGGCCGGTGAAGGAGGAGCTGGGAGCTTTGGGAGTGGGGATCACTGTGCTAGAGCGCACAAAGGTGAGGTGTGGGGATAAAGCACGGGAACGTCCACAAACCCCAGCGGGCCACTCTCAGCGTGCTCAGGGGTCCTGCTCCAGCTCTGGGGGCCTGTCAAATCGAAGACTGCTTGTGTTAACCTTTCTCATCTTGATTAATGCCACAGGCCACAGGGCAGACAGGAGCCATCAGTTATATCAAAGTCTATCATTGACTGTCGGCCGCTGTAGAGACCTAATGGCATATACTCTTGTTTTCTTGGGTTCTCTGTAAGTCTGGGCAATGGCCTTCCTTGGTCTGAATAAGGACAGCAACTGCTGCTGAAATGGCCAAGAACAGAAGTGACCAGGCCTATCAGTTCTGCAGGCCTGACAGAGATGTTCCGGACTGGGCTGGCTGCCTAGAACGTTTTATAGGCACCAAAAGGGCAGGGAATGTACCATTTCTGTACTCTTTCATCTTTCAGACTTTAATTGGCTTAATTGAATTGAAAACATCCACAGAGGGGGACTGGGACCTTCTGGCGTTTGCTCCACCCTGGCATAAACTGACCAGCATGGTAGGGTGGCGAGAGCAGAGACCTGCGGCGGTTCCCTTGCCCACCTCACCCTTGCGCTGTCATTTTCAGTAGGCCGCTGCCTCAGGGGGCTGCTGGAGCACTGCGAGAGATAGCTTAAGTTTATGTCTGTCCCCCATCTGCCTTCTGGACCTTTCTCATGCCCCTAAGCCCAGTAGCGCACGTCCATGTGATGAGAAACCCAGGAGTC